CGGTGGTGCCGGGATCTTCGACAAAGTCTCGCTCTTGGTCTGGTGGCAAGCTTAGAGCAGTGACGTAAGAAAACTCCGTTTCCGTCTTCGATAATGGACGTGAGCGGCGTGGCGAGTCTGAGCGCTCTTGTGGAGGTGCTAGACTGGTGGTGAGACGTCTTTTGGTAGTGGTCACAAGGCCACGTTGAGAAGCATTGCTCCCCTCATCGGACGCAGCTTCGGCTGCGGACAAGCCGACCACGGGTAGGTCTGGCCTGGCTCTTTCAGCTGCTGCCACCGCCTCTGCTATACGGCGGCCGTGCTGCTCCGCTTCCGCTGCTTCTCTGGCCGCTCTCTTTGCAGCAGCCTTGCTTCGCTTTGGATTACCTGATTGCGTCTTGGGTAGTGGCACGCGTGGATGGTTGTCTGCCGAGCCTGGCACCTTTCGGCTTGCCGCACTCGTCGATGCTTGAGCAGAAAGTTCGGTCGCTGTGCGATCCCTGCCCACGTCCTGCGTCTTGGCATTGCGATAAGGTTTGGCTGCTGTCGCTACATTACTTTTCCGATTCCTAGGGTGCTTTCTAGGTCTAGCGGTGGCCACTGATAGATTGTCGCTGGCAGCACTGCAAAGTGACGGGTCGGGCGTCGCATCGCCTGAGTCACGGGATGGACAGATATACGCTTCAGATTCCGTTACTGTGAGACTAATTCCCGCTTGACTCACCATGGCTATTGCTACTCAGCGCGCAGTCCTCCCCGTGAGCGGCCGATGGCACAACGAGGTGTTGCTTGGCATGTATGCTCGCCGGAGAATTGGGCAGATGTGGCGAGCGAACCATGCTCGAATGGACGCGGTCCGCACGCACAGGAACATGGTCATCCTTGTACCGCGGGTGGGAGGAAGATGCGGCGACAAAGGCAGGTCTGGAAGGCGTTGGCTCGGTCGTTGAAAGCGGCTCGGAAGTGCGGGCCGGTCGGACTTGGTAAGCGTCTCGAAATGCAGTTCGGCCAAAGCTTTCTTTGGCAGCATCGATCAATGACAATGCATTGTCGCCCGCTGGTACCTGGGCAGGTGTGGCGGCTTCGGGTGGCACTGCCACCTGCAAAGGTGGAGAAGCCTGAGAGCGGTGACTCGAAGTCTGTGCGGTTTCATTTGTTTGACTCTCGGCCTGTAGAATCGGCGCAGACCTTCGTGCCGACTCAAGCGCGTCCGGCTGCGAGGGAACGGCTCCAAGCAAAGGCAGGTCTGACCCGTGAGCTAGCTGTTCAAGGGAGGTCGTGTCGGGATGCGCGGCTATGTCCAGGGCGATACTCAGGGTAGCTTTGCCATCGCTATCATCTTCTGGAGCATTTGGTGTAGGCGAAGGGAGCCTCGTCTCGAAGGCGTTCTCTGCTACAGTGGCGCACAGAGAAGCCGCTGGAACTGGCTCGGATGAGGATAGCTTAGATGGTCCTTCTAACACAGTCTCGTTGACGTTCCCTACTGGCTCTGCAGTGCGACTTCCCTTGCCTTTGCGCTTGCTGGGCTTCTTCTTCTTTTTGTTGCCCTCGCTTGTTGCCTCAACAATGGCCGCGACCACGTCATCGAGAGAAGCATCTGTGGGCACATCGCCTTGACTTGGTTCTTTTCCAGGCACGTCTTCGATGGCCAAGCGCTGTTGTGGTGCCGAGACGCTCCTTTGGCTTGTGCCTGTATGCGTAGCTGAAGCATTTGTTGATGTAATGTCTTCTATGATGAAGTTCGAAGAGTGCATTCCCGACCAAGTCGCGCGGCGGTACTCCCTTAGAGGTATGCGAGTAAGCGTGGGACTGGGAAGTGGAAGCTGCTCGGACCAAATTGGTAGAAGTGTGGCCGTCGCATCACCCCGAAAATTGAGGTCCCGGTGCATCACGAAAGTGTCCATTTCAGCATTGGTGCAGGTCCAGATGACCACAGAAGATGGGTGATGCTCGAAGTACGTGGAGAAGTATCGATGGGCAGCTTCCCGGCGAAGAGCAAGATCCGACTGCTGATATGCTTGACAAAATACTTGCCGCATGAGACTGTTCGTGTTTGCGACTGTATGCGCGCGGCGTGCGGCGGCAATGGTGACCGAGCGATGTGGAGAGGATCGCGAGCCAAATGGAGTGTTCACATCAGCGAGTGGGCGGCTTTGTTGTCTATCCGCGCCCCTGCTGAGAGCATTCTGAACTGCTCGAGCGACTTGTGGAGGAGGTGCCCCACGCGAAGATGCTTGGCGAAGTCGAGCAGCGCGATCGCCGGCGTGCATTGGCATGTTGGCACCTCCTGAAGAGCCGGACAGCAGGTCGAAGGACTGTGTGTCGAGGCTGTGAAGTCACCTTCCCCTGAACGAAGAGCATGTACTCGGCAGAATGATGGTCGGATCGATGCGACGGTGAGCCTTGCCTGTGGCGCGAGCGGCAGTTTGGCGAAGTTGAAGCCCTCCAGACCAATGCTCGGTTCCTTCCAGCACGCAATGAAGGAGAGATATGTGTGCAAAAGGTAAGTCCTCCACTGTCGATAGGTCACTACTCCTACCCCTGTAGCATCCAGAAGATGTGAGGGTCGCTCAGTAGCTTTGGCATCCCACGTTGGTTTTGGAGATAACAAGCCTACAAGATGCCGTATGAAGTAGTGCCGATGGCGGTGCTGCCAACGAAAGCTTTCGGGCAGCTAATGAGAGCAGAAAGTTGTGTTGCGTGGAGCGAGTAGCGGCGCCCAGACTTGTCCAAACCCTCACAAGCGGCACGGGGGAGTGGCGATTAGGATGTGAAGGCCACCAGATCCGTTGCTGACCGTTTGCTAGCGTCCAGCAGCTTGTTTTTGGGCACCATTAGAAGGCTGTTGCAGGTAGCTTCGAGTGATGATGCACATGCACGTGCCCCGACCGGCTCAACCCTGCAAGCGCGAGCGTGTCTGTTCTGGGTGGCTAAACAAGAGCAAGTCGGTATAGTCGCCTGACCAGGCTACCGAAGCCAGATCTCCAGAGTGGCTATAGAGACTCCTGCTAAAAAGGCGAGCACTGATGAAAGTTTGCATGAATCACGAATGCTTCGGACCAGAGTGAGTGTGTGTGACGGCCCTGCTATCTGAAGTCCATGCATGCAGACCAAAAAGAGTCAGCTTTGCTTGAGCCCGTGGGCTCACGCCAGGAAGGACTTTGTGTAACCCCATCGACCTTACATCAGACAGCCGACCGGCACAGTCTGGCTGCTCACAATCAAGAATCTTCATTGTAGACCCTTTGGCTACCTACTCCAGCATGCAGATCTTGTTCAACATCATCAGCGCAAGTGAAATCCGTCCCACAAAGGATTGCCAGCGCGTGCCTGAAGATGCCTCGTTCAGTGCCCGGCGCGCGAATGATGTTTACTCGCGGATCGATCTCGCCGCGGATGCTTGAGAAGAGAGCCGCGCTCGGGCGCAGGCTTGGGGCAGCGGTTTTGCGCGCGTTGACGCGTGCCAAGCCAGGATAGCCATGCTGGAGGCGATCGAATGGGCTCGTGGCCTCTATGCAACTACGGATCACTACCATGGAGCTATATATCGCTGCTGCTATAACGGCTATATATGAGCTATACATGGACCTGTAATACTCTTTTCCTAGCTGTTTGCTGGGCTAATCACAGTTGTTTGCATTATGCAGCCCTGTATGGCGAGAGCCGCGCGCCCTCGCTTCGTGTCTCGAGTGGATCATCAAGTCGCCGAGGTCGAGGTAAATCCGTGCTTCCACTCAGCAGGCAGAGTGAGCCAGGCGGGAAGCCGCTTCGTAGATCTCCACCGCAACGCAACCAGCAGCAGGATCTTAAACAGCTTGAAGTCTTACAAACCGAATCCAATCAACGTTGCTGTTGACACGTCTCCCGCAGGAGCAATTCGTCATTCGTGATCCACAACGCGCGCATGCGAATCGTGAGTCAGTGTATGCGCGCGCCAGATGCTTCTTGAGCTTGTGCCTGGATTCCAAACGGCACCAATGGTGAGTAGCTATCACGTATATATAGCTATGCTAGACTCAGGGCCAGTCGGCCCTGCATGCACGTAGCCGGGTCGGCGCGATGACAGGCTAGCCACAGCCACCGAACTCTCGCCAGCCGAGTCCTCTCGATCGAGCAAGAAGCCCGAGCAGCAGGCAGCGTGTAAGTTGTTGCTCAAGGATCGAGCGATCAAATCACATGAATCGCAATCGTTGTCCATCTGTTGCTCCAGCGCGGCCTCCTTCAGGCATGGGCAATGGCGTGGTCTCGTCTAGCTGCGCTGCTGATGCCATGGCGGATGAGATGTATATGCTGCAAGGGCTGCAATAACGGTCGACCCGCAGCTTGCTCTGGCGGATCTTTTGAAATGTGTCAGTATCCCAACCCAAGCAAGTTTCAAAGCTCGAGCCTTGCCTGGAATCTATTTGTATGTTGATTGATCAACAAGATTAAGTTGGCCTACATGTTTGATGGCTTGCATGCTTGACTATCGCTCATCACACACCCCACGTACGCGTGGGCTGGACCTAGACGATCCTCCGCGATATTCGTGATTGAGGAAGCACAGATCGAGGAATGTGAATCTTGAATGGATCCGACGCACAACGCCATGGCCTATATATAGCCGTGCGTAAGTACATGTTCCGCCCCTCACGCATGGCTTCGACTGCTCACGTAACCAGGAGCACCTGGCTGCTTGTCGCGAGTAGCAGCAGCTCCGCTCTTGTCGTCCTCGATCTTGAAGGAGTTGCCATCCACGTTGAGATTGCTGTTGACTCCACGGCTAGCTGACCATCGTATCGTGGCCGCTTCGTAAGCCATGATGGGCAAGGCATGCACCGCTGTGTCTCAGGAGCGCAGCTTGCCCCGCCGGCCGGTGCAGACCGGCTGCGCGCATCAGCAGCAGAGAAGACGTAAGCTCATCCAGCATCCATGCACACAACATCACCGGTTCCGCGAGCCTTCATGCTCGCGTCTGATCAGCTGATGAAGCAGAAGGGGTCCGCGCGGCGCTTCGGGAGCAAGCACGTGATACTTCGGACCGCACGCCCTCAAAAATCAAAACGCAACGTTCCCAGCAAGCCCTGCGCCCACCGACTACACCCATCCTGCCGGTCTGAACACTTCACCACCTCGATCGTTCGATCGACCCATGTCCATCCACAACTCGACCATAAACGCGTCCTAAGTGTCAAATATCACTCTGCGATCACGTTACCAGCCATCGATTAACGTCACTCTGGACTGAAGCGGGCCGCGACTGTACCCTCCAAAGTCGCTTTCAATCTGTCCGCAGTAGGCAAGCAGGCTGGCCAGCGCCTCTTCCCTTGCACAAAATGCAGCGCATTGTGCGCTTGCGAGGCTCTACAAAGGCGTTGAGCACCTCAGTTGGTCAGCAATTGCCCGCTGCTTTCCCTCCTCGAACTCGATTGCGGTTGCGGCAACACCTTGGCGAAAATCGTCCTCTTGACTTGTGCCCAGTGCAGATCCCATCTGCAGGCACCGCCGGCGCACCTTGGCGCAGCATACACTCCACCTCTACTCAATTCAATGCTGCCGGACCTGGTCCCAGCGAGCACCAAAACCGCGCAGCTGAACAAAGTCCGCCGCCACACTGGTCGTCCAGCAAGTCCAAGGGCAAAGGCGTGCAAACGAAAAGCGCAAGCTCCTCCCGCGTGAATCAGAGCTCGGTACACTCCGCCGCACCGAAGCACGACGCCGGAACCAAGAGCGCACCTAGCACGATTTCTGCAAACGCTACGGGCCTCTCGTCAAAACATGATCCTGGGTCGACCTCACAAAGAAAGCCTTCTGCGCAGGAAGCCTCGCCCAAAGCTGTGCCTGATCAAACTTCTAGTGGCGGCGTGCAGACGGACGATGGCGCCAGACCTACGTTGTTGAAGCGAGCGCAGAATCTGTGGCAGACAATGCGGTTCCTGTTCAAGTTCTACTGGGCCGGATTGAAATCTATCTGGGCGAATCGCACTAGGGCGAAGGAGATCCAGGCTCGGGTGGCTGCTAGGCGAGCCGAGGGCAAGCTCGAACCAAATGAGCTGGGCATGACTTGGGAAGAGAAGCAACTGATGTGAGTAGAGCGTAGGGGAAACTATGTATGCTGAGTAGTTGGAGCTGCGGCTCAGTCGAAGAATGCCGCTGTGTACTGACGATGGTCGTTCTTTTTTGCGCTGCAGCCGAGTGCATCACTCCGACATGCGCAAGGTTCCTTTGTTTGTTGCTATCCTTCTCATTTTAGAAGAGCTGCTGCCCTTGCTCGTGATTTATGCGGTGCGTGCTTGCTAGAGAGCACCGCAGATCAGAAGCCCAAGCTGACAGCCGATTGCTTGCCCTCCCCAGCCTGGACTCCTCCCTTCTACTTGCATTTTGCCGTCTCAGGCTGCGAAGATTCGAGCGAAAGCGGAGGTCGCTCGTAACACTGCTGTCGCTCACTTGCGAGAGGCTCAAAGCGCTGGAACTCTGCCACTGAAGCTTAATGAAGGACCAGACGCCGAAAAGGAAGCACTTAGCCAGCTTCCCGCTCAGGAAGTCAAGGACCTGGCTCGCGTCTTTGCGTTGCCGACTTGGGGACCCTCGGCACTTGTCGCACGCAGACTTCTCACGCACGCAGAGTACCTGCGTGGGGATGATGAGGCGTTGCACGCCAGCCAGGGCATCAGCTCAGGGCTACCTTCGGGCGACGATCTGCTTCGTGCAGCAAGTGAACGCGGTTTGAGAGCTAGCGAAGTAGGATCCAAAGAGCTAAGCGGAGGTGAGTTGTCCTGGCGATGGTGGACCGCGCAACGCGGCTGATTCGCAAGGCTTTGCTTCCCTTCTTCAGCTTTGCGAGCATACTTAAAATTGGTGCGGTCGCAGCCTTTCAACCTGCTGATGCCGTTGAAGCTGTACGACAGGCCAACCCCTGCTGAGCTGCTAGAGAGCCATGGGAAGATATCTGCCGAGTCCGAGAAGGGCGTCTTAGCGCGCACAAGGGACGTCGTGGAGGAGGTTGTACAGGAAGAAAGGAGTAGAGAGACCAGGGAAGAGCGGAGCGAGGCTGAAAGTGAAGCTAAGAGGAAGCGTGAAGAGAAGCAATGATGGACGACGCGTTCCTGTCTCTATCGCTCGGATACTGGAATCACTGCGCTCTCTCTCTCTCTCTCTCTTTCCTGCACTGTCGCCGAATAATATAGACACATCATTCCGCACTCTGCTGCCACACAGTTGCGCGCTCTACCTTCCAAGAGGAGGGCTAGGTGAAGGGAAAGTCGTGACTTAGCTTATTCTGTCTGTTGTAAGTCTACGCCGGGGTCACACCTTCGTTCGTCCATTGCTATGCAAGTGCTCTAAGTTCAGATGAAGGTCAAGTCGCCTGTGGGGGCTGTGTACCGGATCTGCCACCCTCCTGTGAGGGTGTCAAGTGAAGTACATCGAGCTCACGAGCCAAGATCACATGTGGTGAGGATGCGATTTTGACGTCACGTGACGGGAAATGGCTTGTGGAGCTGACGCAGCGCGCGTGGACCCGCGATGGCGCGATGCGTCTTTCGGCGACCGCTGTGCGCGGCCATCAGGTGAGGTAAGATGATCGATCATCAACAGACGCATATCTCGTGTCAGGTTGCGCGGCAAGGGCGTGAGTGAATGAGTCTGATGTGCGCTGAGCCACATCTTCAGAAGCTGCATCTCAATCTCCACCATCACAATTACTCCAACAAGCAGGGCCTTGTAGTTAACTTTACACTCCCGCCACCTCTATTTTCACCAGGCACAGAGGCAGCAAGCTCTGGTGGCACCGGATCAAGGCGCCGCACGCCCCACTGCAAGCAGGCACCCACTTACTTATTGGCTGTCATCTCCTCGCACCATGCTGCCGCGCTTCACAGCGCAAACCTCCCGTCTGGCGGCATCCACATCATTGCAGGTGGCCCCATCGCGCTTGACTTCCTATTGTGCTTCTTTGCGGGCCCCGCACGCTGCCAGTCTGGCCACTCATGGCTCTCAGCTTCACACTGCTGCCAGGAGGCGGCCTGAAGCTGCGGCATCTCGCAACAGAGAGCCACTGACCTCTTCCAAGCCTTCTGAGCTCCCATCTTGGGCGTGGTCAGCGCGAAGAGGTTATGCTCGGCCAGCTGATCAAGAACCGAAGAAGGACGAGCAGGTGGAGAAGAGAAGGGAGGAAGCAGCTGATGTGCAAGCCAAGAATGACAGCGATGTCCCGGGCACATCCAAAGCCGCTGAAACAAAATCTCCCGAGCAGAAGAAGAAGGAGTTCGAAGAAGGCTTGGAGCGAGGTCTGAAGGAGGCCAAGAAGGCGAAGGAGAGCAATAGGGACGATGCGCCGACAGATCCGTTGAGCCAGCTCAGCAAGTGGTTCCGTGACCAGGGTGAGAAGGCAGCGAAGGAACAAGAAAAGGCTGAGAAGGAGTCGAAGGATGACAAGGACTCGGACAAGAGGAGTTCCGGCGGCTTCGAAGGAGGCAACAAAGGGGGACCTCAGATTCACGAGGTGCGCATCAATGGCAACCAGATCATCCTCACAATCGCCGCCACGTACATCTTGTGGCAAATCACTTCGCCTTCCACCTCTTCGCGCGAAATCACGTGGCAAGAATTTCGAACGGCCTTCCTTGAAAAGGGCCTTGTAGACCGTCTCGTCGTGTCCAACCGCAGCAAGGTCAAGGTATTCTTGCACAGCAATGCATCCAACACGATGCCCGGTCAGCCTTCCTCGTCTAACAGCAGCGCGCCGTACTGGTTCACTGTTGGAAGTGTCGAGGCTTTCGAGCGAAGACTCGACGAAGCGCAACAGAACCTGGGCATTCCTCCGCATGAGCGCATCCCTGTGGCGTATCGTGAGGAGATCAGCTGGGGCCAAACGCTCATCCACTTTGCTCCTACTTTGCTACTCGTCGGTCTTATGATCTACGCCACACGCCGAGCAGCTGGTGGTATGGGGGGCGGCGGAGGCGGCGCGGGTGGACCAGGGGGCATCTTCGGCATTGGCAAGAGTCGAGCAAAGATGTTCAATCAAGAAACGGACATCAAAACCAAGTTCAACCAGGTCGCTGGTATGGACGAGGCCAAGGAAGAAATCATGGAGTTCGTCAACTTCCTCAAGAAGCCTGAGCGATACGAGCGGCTCGGTGCCAAGATTCCTAGGGGCGCCATTCTTTCCGGACCTCCCGGTACTGGTAAGACGCTGCTGGCCAAGGCCACGGCTGGAGAGGCTGGTGTTCCATTCCTGAGCGTCAGCGGTTCAGAATTCGTTGAGATGGTGAGTCCGCTGAGATCGTGTTCGGATCCTGACGTGGCGCCCCTCATTGACCGATGCTCTGCTTGATCCCACAAAAAGTTCGTTGGCGTCGGCCCTTCGCGCGTTCGAGACATGTTCGCCAACGCCAAGAAGAACGCTCCGTGCATCATCTTTGTCGATGAGATCGACGCCATCGGAAAAGCTCGGGGCAAGGGTGGTAGCATGGGTGGCAATGACGAGCGCGAATCCACGCTGAACGAGCTGCTAGTTCAGATGGATGGATTCTCCACGACCGAGCACGTTGTCGTCCTGGCCGGCACAAACAGACCAGATGTGCTGGATCCTGCCCTGATGCGACCTGGCAGATTCGACCGACACATCGCCATCGACAGGCCAGATATCGGAGGACGCTTGGAGATCTTCAAGGTCCACTTGAAGCCTTTGAAGCTGGCATCGAGCACCGATGTCGACCTTCTGGCACAGAAGCTGTCTACTCTCACTCCAGGCTTCTCTGGAGCTGATGTTGCTAATGTTGCCAACGAAGCGGCACTCATCGCAGCACGCAACGGCGCGGATGCTGTGGAGGAGAAGCACTTTGACCTGGCCATTGAGCGTGTAATTGCCGGCTTGGAGCGCAAGACACGCGTACTGAGCCCCGAGGAGAAGAACATCGTTGCGCACCACGAAGCTGGACACGCCATTTGCGGTTGGTTCTTGGAGCATGCTGACCCTCTATTAAAGGTGTCCATCATTCCACGTGGTGTCGGCGCGCTCGGCTACGCTCAGTACTTGCCCAAGGAGAAGTACCTCTTCTCTACCGAAGCATTGATCGATCGCATCTGCATGACATTGGGTGGACGCGTGGCCGAGGAGGAGATGTTTGGCAGCATCACTACCGGTGCGCAGGACGATCTGACCAAGGTCACCCGGATCGCATACGAGATGGTCAGCAGCTACGGTATGAGTCAGGACATGGGATTGGTGTCGTATAAGCAAGAGCAAGAGTCGTTCAACAAGCCCCACTCTGAAGCTACCGGTCAAAGAATCGATGATGAGGTGCGCCGCATCATCACGGAGGCTCACGAGCGGACAAGGAAGCTGATTCACGAGAGGAGAAAAGAGCTAGAGACGGTCGCTCAGCGTCTGTTGAAGCAAGAAGTTCTGACGCGTCAGGATATGAGAGAGATGCTTGGCAGGAGACCTTTCAAGACTAGCGATGAGGCTGACGATTACCTGGACAAGAGACTAGGCAGGGGCGAGTCTTCTGCTCCACCTCCGCCACCGGGTGAGCTCGGCACTCCTGGCGTCGCAGCCAAAGGCCCTCCTGAACCTTGAGCGTGCGCGCGCGCAGTTTTCACTCTCGGTCCTTGATCAGTCATCGCACCCTCTTTCTTTCTGATTCCGTCGACTTCTACTTCATCATCACCCTTCTTCCCTCATGTTAGTAGAGCGTCGCCATATACTTTGGTCTCACATGCATTAGGGACACTTGTAATGCAACCGTGGAATATGCTCGATCGCCCGTGATACGAGTCGCACCGAATCCGGGTTGATGGCAATGACGAGGCGATGAGACCGTTGGCAACTAGCGGTGCTCTGAGTAGGAGAGCCGTCGGGCTGCAAGGCCAGTTTGACTAGCTGACGCAAAACGCTTCCCGGAGCTCGCATCCGAGACCATTGCGCTGAGACCTGTCACGCACTCAACGGGTAGAGTTTGATGATTCTGTCCCTCGAAACGTCGTCAAAGCTGCGTGCTTGAGACATGAGGTTCGTCTATCGCGCGCGCTGCGCCTTTCGAGAAGAGTCTTCTGCGCGATCCTGAGGTGAGCATGGGAAGGCGAGGCGATCGAGAACGGCAATGACGACTCATATCTGCAAATTCGCCCTTGACCTCAACCCTCCGATTGTGCTCACAGACTTGCCAAGAGGGCGAAAGGATCAGACCGGATCAGACGACACGAGTCTTGATCACTAAAGTTGGAGGGAAAGAGGGCAGCAGTGGGCTCGAGAGGTCACGAGTGAGTACCCGAGTGAACGACGATTGCAGGCAGAATGGTGCGAGCAAACGCCAATATGACGCAACTGCGTTCCAAAGGACCCGACCGACCATACGAATTGGCTACGGGGGCGTAGTAGAGTGCGACAAACCCGCTCGATCTCTGGAGACATCTTCACATTGTTTGATCCTCGGGCCCACATCTCGAAGCGATCGACCTTGATCACGAGTAATCGAAAGCTTGGCAAGAAGCGTGATTCACAAATTCTTGATTTGTCGAGACGAGTGTACGAATTTGCCGGAGCAGGCGCGGGAGGTGATGATAAGGTTTGCGCATTCTAGACCCGGGCGCGAGTGTTTCGACCCAAGGGGTTGATCCCATTTCTCACTTTGACGTTCCATTTTGATTGACCGATGAATAGGCGGCATCTGACAGCAACGAGGCTTGAATTGTGAAATTGGATGCGAATGTGATCGTTGATGCAATTAAGACGCATCAAATCGAGCGCAATTTGCCCCTCCCTTCGGACAAAGCTTTGTCACACACCATATCCGAGCATCTGCGCGCGCGCGTGCGGTCGACGCTCGATCGGAGCCGATATATCGAATGCCCAGCCCCATCATTCTCGCGCATGTCCGCGTGCCCCAGCAGCACACGCATAGTGCATGCACCGCGCGTACCTTACCGTTCTTAGCAGTCAGCTTCAGAACCAAAATGTGAGTGGTAAGAATCAGGAATGCCTAATTAACAACCACTTTGATTGTGATTCAATCGCGAATTCAAGATTCTCGTGCGAGCAGCGCGTGGGGTTCGAGTCGAGTGCCAATCTTCAATCTTCTAAACAATTGCGAATCGCGAAGCGCATGATGAATTCACCATCACGACTCTCTTCGTCGTCAGACGCTCATTCTTGATTGTCCCTGATTCTCACTTGTCATAGCTACCCTTCTCATGCCACCGCTTATTGACGATTGATCATTGCCACCAAATCAGTCACACTCTGTCGCGTCGGACCAGTACCCTTAACCCTTATCCGAAGAGACTATCCATCTCTTCTCATTGCCGACCAATTTTGGTTCATCTCTGCGTGTGCAACTTATCAAACTAAACAACAGCTGTCTTCGCTATACCCACCGCTCTCTCGCGCACGTCATCGGTCTGCATGCATTTTGACTCATCCATTCGGTCCGCGGATCGGCGCATCACCACGACCGACCGATAAGCACCCATCATCACTTCACATTGCTACACTTCATGGACCGATCGCACCGATATCCGGACATCGCTATTGCTCCAGCCATCGAGCACTCAACAGCCTGCTTGCCCATCCATCACAAACTCAGCCAGCTGGCTCAGCTACACGCACGAACTAGTTTGACGACATTCTGATCCAGATTGCCACTACCGCCTACCTCGCTCTTGCCATCTACGCCGACCATCTTCATGCCGTGTCATGAGCTAGCACCGGTAGTGCTGTCGCTGCGCTCCCTCGTCTTGTCAGTCCTCAACATCGCTGCAGCAACTGCTGTTTGATCGTCCGCCGCGGCTTGCGTGCTAGCTACATTCCTTCTATGTCGGTCATGCTGGATCTTGTTTTGCTCTGATTGAAACATCCTCTCCGGAACCCAAACCGTCATCACACGTGTCACATTCATCAAGCACCTCATCATCGACCATCGTCATCATTCGCGGAGCGCGTACGATCGTCGCGGACCTACACTCCTAATTCCAAGCATCCGGATTCATCGATCGCGACATTCGTGATTCACGATCACGGCCAGCATACAGCAACGGCAGTTTCGAGTCTCACATCACGCACGCGCACACAACCACTCAACCAAAGAGCTGCCTCGCTGCCCCCTCCTCAACTGTAGCTGTCGCTCTGGAACAAATCGAAAGGGAAAGGCAGGACGCAAAGGAAGAGAAGCGTTTCGCTTTAGCTGGTCGTTCCTGCTTCATCGACCCCGCCAGTTTCTTCAGGCTTTGCTCTCCGTCAATCAGCGGCAGAGCGTACAGCGTCCGAGCATTGTCGTCCATTGGCTGCACCCTCGAGCACGTCAGCGTTGATTGTATCCTGGCCTGATCAGGACCGAGTTGACGATCCCGGTTCGCAAGTCTTGGCGGAGCTGTTTCACAATCGTTTGAGGCGAATCCTGGCGAGCCCGCTGCCTTGCGATCTTACGTCCGTCAGCGTCGAGAGCGAGGGCAGCAGCAGCAGGAGTTAGCCAAGGTCGCAGCAGCTCGACGATAGCACCCTGCAGTCGCGACGCCGGCTACGTACTCCCTGCCGCGGCTCAATACTAGGGACTAGTGCTCACCTCGTAGCCGTGAGCATCGCAAGGCCAACAATAGGTGTTAGCCGAATCCATCCATTCTGGAATATAAGAGGGCTGAGGGGGACAAGCTTGGTCGGGGCCCTGCTTGTATTCCAGCACAAGCCAGCCAGCCAGCCAGTCAGGTAGCCAGCATTTTGGACTGATACAGCTGCAAACAGAGGCTACCAAAGTCACGCCGCGCCCTCGTCACGCACACCTCATCGCGACCATGCTGCACCTGCAACTTAAAGCTGCATTGAACCAGCGCCGCAAAAAAGGTTCCCTTCGCGCTCTCACCGTCTTTCCTTCCATCACCTCGTCCGATAAGCGCAGAGGAACCAAGTCATCTGCAAGCCTAGACGGCACCTCGAACAACAAAGCCCAGCTTGTAGACTTCTCTAGCAACGATTATCTTTCCCTCGCGAGCTGCGAAGAAGTGAGGAGCAACTTTTTGGCAAGAGTTCACAAAGCCGTCAGCACGGGCGAGGGAGTGATGGGAAGCACCGGGAGCCGACTCCTAGACGGCAATTCGACGGCTCATGTGCATGTGAGTAGGGGCCAACGCGGTCGTTTACGACGGCGCTGTCGCGTAGTGCGCTCACCCCGCTCCTAGTGACGCTGAACCTCAACTCTCTCGCCCTAATCCTGACTGCGCCTCTCCTGGCCCGTCGCAGCTGGAGAACCGCCTCGCTCGTCATTTTGATAGCGAAGCGGCGCTGCTTTTCAACTCGGGCTACGATGCCAATACTGCCCTGATGGCCACGCTGCCGCAGCCGGGCGATGTGATCCTGTACGACAGTCTGGTTCATGCCAGCACGCACGATGGCATGCGCTCCTCTCGAGCAGCACGCCGTATCAGCTTTGCACACAACTCGCCGAAAGACTTCGAGCGTGTCCTTCGCGATGTGCTGGCTCCTCCGACAAGCGTGCTCGAAGCTCTCGATCGCGCTGCAGCTGCCAAGACTGTTCAGCTGTCCTCGGATCTGCGCAATGGAAAGGTGAACGTCTTCATCGTTGTGGAGGGCGTTTACTCTATGGACGGCGATGTCTGCCCACTTTCCGAGCTCATGGACATTGCCGAACGACTTGTACCTAGAAGCGAAAATAGGCACTTTATCGTCGATGAGGCTCATAGTGTAGGCGTATACGGCCCAAGAGGAGAAGGTCTTTGCTTTCAGCTCGGCCTGCACAAGCACATTTCCGTGCGACTAAGCACTTTTGGAAAGGTCAGTTTATACTCGATATCACCCGTGTGCGCGCGTCATCCAGCTCACCAGTCCACTCGACCCGCTTTGACGCAGGCTTTTGCCAGCAGTGGAGGTGAGCTTAGGCTCACAACAACGCTTGCGGATGCTGGCAGCACCATTTGACTGACTTTGCCTGCTTTCGCCGAATCAGCTGCCGTGCTATGCTCCCCACTCATTCGCCAATTCTTGCTCAATTATGGTCGTCCACTGGTGAGCCGGCCTTAGCGACCTTGAGCGAGTCCAGGTTCTGCACTGCTCACCTTTTGGTGCGACGCATCCCTCAACAGGTCTTCTCCACCGCTCTATCATTCAATACCGTCATGTCGATCGAGTGTGCGCTCGACGCGCTGCAGAATCGAGCAGATGCAAGACTGCGTTTCGAAAGGCTGTTCGACAACACCATGGCAATGATACGAGGACTCGTAAACGCCATCGAGACGAACAGCAATGTCGACGATGTCAATACTGACCCACATGAACGTCGAGCTCGACTTCCCTTGGCACTGACGCGCAGCGCCGATCCGGCGCTCGCCGCACTGCCTCCCTCGCCGATCATACCCCTCTTGAGTCCCCAAGCTGCTCAGCTGGCTCAGCACCTCAGATCTGCAGGCTTTTTGGTGCGCACTGTCATGTACCCCACGGTGCCCAAAGGTCAAGAACGAGTGCGCATCTGCATTCATGCGGACAATACGACAGAAGATATCAAGCTGTTTGTAGCTACCGTCAAGCGATGGTGCAAAGAAGAGGATCAGGAGAAATCACAAAAAGATGCGGAAGGAGGTAAAGAGGAGCAGCAAGCGCTCCATTCGTATCCGACGGCGCCCGATGCCAAGCAAGAGTCATCATCGTCTGCTAATACGCTGCGCAGCATGAGTTCTGCACGCTGGTCCGCAATGCCCAAAGCGCAACGCATGAAGAGTCGCCTGTAAAACTCAATGTCCACGAACGTCAAGCCGGCAGCCAATAAGCCTTTTGCTCTCGGTTATTTTGTACGCGAGCGCAACATAATCCAGGCTGTCGTGCATCTTCAAAAATCGCCACTTCATCTCACAGATTCTCGTCGAATTCGAATCTCCTCGCCAGAGCTGAAACGTTCAATATCAAAAGATCAGCAAGTCTGCATACTCGTTCGGCCTTCTTTATGCAGCAGAACTCGCACGCCATGCTGATGATCCACGATGCCACGCTCCAATCACGGTCACCGCCATTTCACTGCTCCTGCGTCACGTTGCCGTCCTGGTCGATGATCCTTCCCCCCAAAAAAGAAAGATCTAGTAGTAGTAAAGTTGCCTGCCTGCCTGCCTGCCTGTATCAATCGTGAAGTGTGAATGCTCGCCTCTCTGACCATCTTGATGAATGTTCAAGTCAGAGATCGACGATAGGGTGGCATCAAGTCAGACACTACTCCGATGCCAAATGTATTTGAGATCGCAAGGTGCGAGCGAGCGAGCGAGCGGGCTAGCGACAGGCATAATGAGCGCTGAGCCAAAATCTTGCGCTCGCGCACCCCATACAAGGCATAAAGGAGGTTGCGGTGCGCGAGCTGGAATATCTCTATTTCTCAGAGTGCCCTGTCACGAAGGCGCCCCGCTCGAGGCTCATCAGTGCTTTGCGAGCAGAAATTTGCCCCTCGTCACGATAATGACCCTGCGCAAACACATCTTGTGTTCCTTTCTCACCTTGACAGCTCGACAAAGGCTGAAAAAGGGCGCGAATTCGCATCCTAGCAAAGAGCACTCGGATCGAAACGAATAGCCGCGCAACATCACGCAAGCGTGAATCATCCTTTGTAAATCTTGGCATACGGATTCGGCTTCATTCTTTGGAGATCAATCACATTTTGGGTGGGGAACGGAGGGAAGAAAGGCGGGAACGGAATCGTACCTGCGTGCACAAACGAGGTTAGGATACCGATATGCACCGCGCCGTGTAGGAAGGAGCGCGTTCGAAAGGTCTCGACGAGCATGAGCTGATTGAATGCTTGAAAGTAGGGAGCTTGCGTTTTGAAGGCAATTTGCCTTGAAGTGTCTCCAAGGCGTGACTCGAGAAGCTGCCGCTTCAGCCCAGGGTGGGAAAGGCGCTCTGGTCCTGGAGGTTGACGGCGCCACCAGCACCTCCCCCACGAGTGTATCCAGCACCACCACGTCCTCTTCCAGCACCGCGACTTCCATCGCCGCGTCCACGGCCTCGTCCGCCACGCTCGCTTCCACGGTCACCTCCACGTCCGCCGCGGCCGCGGCCGCGGCCACCTCTCTCGCTTCCAGCAGCAGGGGCAAAGGTCTGCTCGATTTCGAGGAATTGCTTCGTCTTTGCGCTCTTCTCACGCGGCTTGTAATTAGGGTTTGCCTGGAGCAGGTTGAAATTGTCACGCGTAAGCGAAAGCGATGATCAGCCGAAACACGAACACCAGTGGCCAACGCTAGATAGTTGACCTCGGTCAAGCTTCTCCACATATACGTTGTTGCTGCTCAACTCACCTTCTTGGCCTCCTCCTCAACAGCTTCTCGGACGAATCTGGTGCCGAAAGCCGACTCGTCTGCCTCAACCTGACGAGGAGCGCTAGCGTTTCCGATGGTGAATTTCTTAGCCGCTCGCTCAGCAAGGTACTCATCCAGAGTCTTGGTGGTGTCCACTTCCTCTTCCGGGATCGGTGCGGGCGCATCAGCGGCGGGGGTAGCGCCAGGCACAGCAGGGTCGGCGGGAGCATCCCAACCCGAAGCTGCGTTCTCAGGCACAGGAGCTTGGCCCTCGGCAGCGGCGTCTGCGACTGCGTTCTCCTCGTTCTCTAGCTCGCGCTTGCCTTCATCACCGCCCCATCCTTGATGAACGCGCTTCTCGGAGTCGCTGTGGTACGCAACGAAGGGCTCAGATGGCAGTCTCGTTGTCATCGATTCACACGGATTCTGCTACACTCACACGCGGTCTGTTTGAGAGTGACGGTCAAATGCACGTCCACGGCCTCGAGGACCACCACGTCCGCGGCCACCTCGTCCTTCTCCGCGGCCACCACGACCGCCGCCTGTAAACGAAACGTGAAGAGAAATACGCGCTAAGCACATTGCAACGGCATGCTCAGAGATCGAGCGACCATTCGAATCAAAGGACGGCGAGCCGTGCAGGGACTGCGTCGCAGCTCAACAGCCACTGAAAGGCATGCTGAGGCCTCTTCGCCGCACCTGGCCAAAGCCCTTCCTATTAACACAAAGAGACACTCACGCTCGGAGCGCGAGTCGCGTTGTTGTTGAACTTCACCATCTTCCGCTCCAGCGTTGGCGCGCTGTGCGCCAGCATTTCCACCACGAGCACCACCGCGAGCGCCTCCGCGACCACCGCGCTGTTGAGTTTGACCAGCACCTACGATCGCTCTCCTGGGAGCTGTTGGTGCCGCGTCCTTCGTGGGAGCGACAGGTGCCGGTGCGGGTCCATCGTCATCTGAGGGTAGAGTACATGCAAGGGTTTTTTTCTCAATTAGCCGGGATGCCCTGCAGTGCCGAAGGGCTGCAGCAGTGGCTCTCGGGATGGGTCTTTGTTGCCTACCACTTACCTCCCAAAAGGGCAAAGGGGTTCTTACTAGCGACCGACATTGCGGTCGACTGTTTAAACTCGCCTTGGCGAGTGAGCAGAATAGCCAGTCGTCAGGCTTAGGTGTGCTGCGAGTGAATTAGGGGTTGTAAGCTTCCACTTGATCGTCATTGGGTCGCCCCTAACATCGTGACGCTTCTTGACGCTTTTGCTGCTCATCTTGAAGCGCAGCAAGACGCGACAGAGCGCCGCAGGCGCAGACGACAGCGAGGTCCTCTGTCGTCTTCCTGCGCCGCCAGCTTGCCTGCAAGCTCGTTCCGAGGTGACGTCTCGTTGGCAGGCGTGAATGCCATCTCCAATCAAGCCTGGCTTTTTCGGCAGCATTGGGCTTCTTGCCGATGGTGAAGTCGCGCTCCTCGCGTGGGGCGGTACTCACAGATGAACCGCAGCAAAATCCTTTTGCGACGGTCTTGCTTTTGCGAAGATGCAGGGCGACGATGGTCTGCCTGCTTGCTCCTCTGTCGGCAATGGATCGAAGAGAGCGCGGGTACGTGTGATCAAGATGAGACGAGGTCACTGCCCTTGTCCCCTTTTGAGGTGTTAGCTGTGAGAAGCTGAATGAGCTTTGGCCTGGTTGCAGAAGACGAGTGGATCGACTGGCTTGATTTGCTTGCTTGGCCTGCCTGTCTGCCTGCCTGCCTGCCTGCCTGCCTGCCTGCTTGCTTGCTGGGCGCGAAGACGAACTTGAGCGGCCGAGACGAGCGAAGAAAGCAGTCGCGGTCGGGCGAGCGAGCGAGCATGCGCGCGAGCCATGCAGAGAAGGACAGCTCACAGCAGCAGCAGCAGGCAGCAGCAGCAGCAGCAGCAGCAGCAGCGGCGTCGGAGGCGGAGGCGCCGCTCGCTGCTGCCTCGAGGAAGCAGCAGCAGCAGCGTACCAGCAGGAGCGGCATGCAGTGCGTGGACGCGCGCACGCAGCACATCACGCTATTCAAGATTGCGCGGAAGCCTAAGCGCGCCTGTCTATATACCTGCTGCTGCTGCGCGCGGCATCAGCACCATCACCAGCACTCGACTGTAAATCGAGACCTCGTTCCGCCCCGCCCGCCAAAAGCCATGCAAGTTCGTGCCGCCTGATCCACAAGCATCACGTGTCAGACGACCTCGTCGACCCATTCTTGATTCCAAAGTCAAGCCACCAGATTCATTCGAACGTGAAGCTTTGCCAGGCTCCGTCTTTGAGCAAGTCACTACATTCTTGCTGCTGGACGCGGGGAGGACGGGCAACGTCTAGCAGTCCTCTTGACGTTGGGTCAATACGGACGGATGCGTCTCGCATGCCGGCGCGTCTTGCCAACCTGTTGCCATGTGGCACTTGGCGGTCCCATCACGCTCTCGGCTGGCGCCCATCATTTGTCTCGGAGCTTGTCTGGTACATGCTACGCTTAGGCAGCACACGTTATGCGATGCTGCTGCAAATCACGTTGCGGGCAACCACGAACCTGCTGTATTTCTCCTCTCGCACAAGCGCGCTGGTGTTGTAGCAGCGCAACCCCCGTAACAAAGAGCGGTCGGCGTGTGGACGTTGCTCGACGTGTCCGCCTATTTGCCGGGCCTTAGCGCGACGTGTGTCATTCTCGAGTGCACTTTTTTTTTTTTTGGTTCGACGGATGCAGACCGAGCATCAGGTATCGCAGCTGCCGCGTGAAGCATGTGGTAAAGTACGAATCATTTTCAGAGCATGCTTCGAGGCAGCTTCCACCCAAATCACGAATGCGCGGGAAGCTGCTGCGGCGTGAGGCGCTCAATCTCGTTTCTCCGAGTCACGTGATCTTGCCGAGCTGCAGGGTCAGCCGTCGGGGAGTGTCGGGCGCGCATGAGCGGCTCGACAGCCCTGGCGGCGGGTAGCAGCAGCAGCAGATAGATGAGGTTTGAGCTCGTGCGCTCCCTGGCGGGAGCAGGTTTACGCGCGCGGCTGCAGCGCTCTGGCTGTGCGCGCGCGCGTGCGCCTGCGCCCAATAAGCAACAAAGCAAAAAGTTCGAATTTGAGCTGCAAGTCATGCACCGGCCACGCTCGGGGCGTGATGTTGAGCGACGCGCGCATGCTGGAGCATGCCTAAACTCGTGACTCGCTCGCTGCTCATCGGCGGTGGGCGCTATGCTATGGGAGCAACGTTGCTTGCCATGTAGGCAGCGATTCGTGCTCGTGCTCGTGCCAACTTACCATCTGGCTCATTCTGATTCGGTTCAGCGCACTTCACTCCGCATCTCACGCACACACCACAGAATCAAAGGTCTAGACGATCATTGAACCCTCCACGCACATCTGACGACAAGAAAGATATCGCATACAACCCTCTTCCTCCATAAGCCAGCGATCTGTTCCAACAATGTCTTTCAACTCCCCCATCTTCCAACATCTCAACGGCGCTCAGTCCGCCAGGAAGCCTACCATCAACCAGGCTTTCCCCATCAGAGCGCCCGTCGAGGCCGCTGCTGCCCCCAGCGGTGCTGATCTGTACGCTCGATTCGCCTTCGCCGGTGCGGTCTGCGTAAGTGCTGATCAACAAAAAGAAGGCAGCTGATGCAGTCCGTGTGGACTCGGAATGAGCCTCGCTGCGACGCCACGCTTCTCTGGCACTTCAAGCATTCAGCTTGCAGAAGTCGCTGACTATTGAGCATGCCTTCTTTGTGCGCTACAGTGCGCCATCACCCACGGTGCCTTGACCCCCGTCGATGTTGTCAAGACCAGAATCCAGTTGGAGCCCGAGGTGTACAACAAGGTGCGTACACTTGAACTCGTCTCAGTTCATATTGCAGCGAGGATCTCATCAAAGTCACTTTCTTGCTCAACAGGGCATGATCACTGGATTCCGCCAAGTCGTGGCCAAGGAGGGTGCTGGTGCCCTTCTGACCGGCTTCGGCCCCACCGCTGCCGGTTACTTCCTGCAGGGAGCCTTCAAGTTCGGAGGGTGAGTGTACGTTTATGTCTCTTGTCCAAGAATGCGAAACTGGGTTTGCGCGTTGCAGGGGCTGGCGAGAAGACGCTTGTGGCTGCCGGAATGGTCGCCTTGGAGCGCGTAGCGACTGCGACTGCGATAGCCTCGGCTGGTCTCTACCCCGCCTCGCACAGCCATACTACAGCGGCTGCAGCGCCAGCCTTGTTGCCCCGTTTCCGGGTATCCAATCGCTGACTGCGTCCCCATTGCCCATCTGCAGTTACGAGTTCTGGAAGAAGACCATTATCGACCAAGTCGGTCTCGAGACTGCCACCGCGAACCGCGGAGCAGTCTACCTGGTAGCTTCCGGTATCGCAGAGTTCTTCGCAGATATTGCTCTCTGCCCCCTCGAGGCTACGCGTATCCGTCTCGTCTCCCAACCTGGCTTTGCCAACGGTCTGCTCGGCGGTTTCGCAAAGATTGCCCGCGAGGAGGGTCTCAAGGGCTTCTACTCTGGGTGAGTGTCACGCCCGTACATGCAGGACGCTCCACTCGGAGCTGCCAGCTGAGCGATGACACAGGACTCGCAAAGCTAGGACGCGCTGCTTTGGCGGGCCGCTGACCTGACTCCCTCCCTTGACCTCGCTCCTCTAGCTTCGGCCCCATCCTCTTCAAGCAGGTGCCATACACGATGGCCAAGTTTGCCGTCTAGTGAGTCATGCGGTGTTGGACTCTGTCCAATGTGCTCGCTCACGCCCTACTGCTGTGCTCCCCGTCCCCAGCGAGGTCGCCTTCGAGAAGATCGTGGGCCTGACTGGCAAGCCCAAGGAGCAACTCTCGCCCGGACTCTTGACCAGCCTGAACTTGGGATCCGGTGTGCTCGCCGGTTTCGCAGCTGCCTTCATCTCTCAACCCGCCGACACGCTGCTGTCGAAGATCAACAAGACCAAGGGCGCCCCAGGAGAGGGTGTGACAAGCCGCTTGATCGGAATGGCCAAGCAGCTCGGCGTGCGCGGTCTCTTCGGCGGTATGACTGCTCGTTTCGTGTGCGTATGCGATACTGTTGTTCACAGAGGACCAGTGGCTTCACGGGAAGCTGACACAAAACATGCCCACGCTCCTCACCCACAGTATGATCGGTACGCTCACTGCCGGTCAATTCGCAATCTACTCCGACATCAAGAAGGCGCTCAACGCTACTCAAGGTATCGAGCTCGCCAAGGTTGCCAAGTAGACTATTCAATCATCGCTTGCTCTACAGTTTCCAAAGTTGCCATTCTATCAAAACACCTCTCTTGCCTGCACCTTGATGCGTCCTCACATCTATGAGTCTGATCGATTCTGCCTGCGCTTCTGGTCCAATTTCTGGGTTGGCTGGCGAGGCAAGTGGCGCTGCGGGTTTGCATCGCCATTGCAAAGCAAGTACGCGCACTTCTCAACTCCTGTGGAAAGAAGAGCGCACCGTTGGGCCGCGTATCCTAGACGCTCGCCAAAGGAGTAGGTGCAATGTGCGACGAATGCTCGGCACTGAACAAGCCGGCCGCGCTGCCGCCTGTCAGGAGTAGGGAGGTGTGCTGCACCATTGGCTTCCGGTCCCGAGATTGTTGACTGTTGAAGAATGATGAGGCCCGCGCTTTGACCGCGATTTGAGGCATTCACGGCTGAGCGTGCTCGTCGATGTACACGCGCGTGGCTCCAGGGAGGGCTTAGGCGCGTCGAGCATGGCTATATGTGCCAAGAGGAGAGCGCTCGCCCGCTCGATGTTGTCGCCTGATGGCTGCGAGTCGCGTGGAGGCAGAGCTGCCACGAAGCCGAACACGACACCCACGCTCGTGACCTCGCGACACAACTCGCGACTCATCATTACGCCTTCTCAACACTCACCTTCACTTCATATTGCGGCCCACACTGTCATTCAAGGGCAAAGAAAGGCTTTGCACGCAATCAGCTCCAAGGAGGTCTGTCTCATTCTAGCCTTTTGACGGGATTGCGTTGGTCGTGCAGAGTGGTATACGAAGAAGACTTTTGGGTTGCGCGTTGCACAGCATCGCCTTGATCGCTGCAGACATCGGAACAGGGGCCAGTCCAGAGCTTATCAGAAGGAACTCGTCGAGTTGCGAAGAAGGTGGACATTACAGAGGCGCACGTCGGGAATACCGAATCCTCGTTGGAACCTGCGCTGCGCAGATGTGGTGAGTGTGATAAAGGACAGATCGGTCGATTGGCTCGCTCTTCTGCCTCCCCAACGGCCAGCCTGTCTGACCTTTGTTCTCTTTACGCAGCAAGCACATTCTCAACGCGCAAGTCTCGGTCAGAGCACCATGCTGCCAACAGTGGTTCGATTGTCCAGCCTGTCATGCCGAATCGGAATCGCACGCTCTGAGAAAGACGTTGGAGATGCAGCTGATTTGCAAAAAGTGCAAGAGGGCTTTCAGGGTCGATTTGACTCGGGCGGAGGAAGGGGACGAGTATTGTCCGCATTGCGATAATCACTTTGTGAGTGTGTGCGAACGAGGTGCGCAAGGGCAAGCGCGGGCAGGACTTCATACGTCGTCGTGAGGGCAGGGGTTGTCTGGACATTACGGGAGGCGTTGGCAGCGATCAGGGCCAACGAGATCGAGGCAATGAAGAAGATGATGGTACGCCTCTAGCTCACATGTACTGCATGCTCACGCTCACAACGCCGACCGACCCCTACCGCCTTTGCGCCCTCGATCGCATCTTCAACAGGTCGTCAATGCCAAAACAACGAGCAAGACAGAAGAAGAGGAGGCAGAAGACTTGCAGAGGAGGTGAGTTTAGGCAAGGAAAGTGCCAGGACTCGATGGTGTGATCGATGATGCACAGTCACGGATCGCAGTAGCAGCGTTTCGCAGCAGCTTGATACGACACATCATGTGGCAAGGCTCGCAACTGACAATCTTACCTGATGTCAATTCTGCCCCAGCATCCAACCAGACAAGCACGAAGAGTTTGACGCTAGAACATCGTTCATGTCTCGATATGACCCTGCCAGGCAAGACGATTCGGACAGGATAGACGCTGGAGGTGTTCAAGCCGCGCTAGAAAGTCGGAGCAGGGACGCAGTCTCTGCCAATAGAGATGCGATCAGAGCGAGGGAGATCGGGGATGTGTTGGATAGGAGGAGGCAGGAAGTCGAGCTGGCCGACGACGATTTGGATTGGAGCTGAGCGAGATCATTCTGACGTCGCGCACACGATCCCAATGCGCCTCATCATGAAGCATGTACACTGACGACTGTCGCAAGCGAATATGACAAGATGAGGCGGAAGATGCATTGTACTGATCAGGCTGAGATAAATAGAGGTCCATCTCGAAGCGCAAGAGTTTGGCACAATACACGTTTGACTGCTCGACTGCGAAGGAGCTTGCATCGGCACAGGAGACGGCGAGGCAGCAAGGGTAGAAAGGTGGGGGTAAGAATGGCGCGAGGCTAATTTTTGTGAAGGCGAATAGAAGAGGCATTGCGCGGCGCAAGGGTGAGCTGGCAAAGTGGAAGAATGCGAAGAGGCAAGACGGAGCAGTGGGAAAAAATGAGCGTGATGTAGCGATGTGTCCGATGACGGTGGTGTTTGAGTCTAGCATTTGGAGACTGAGATGCGTTCTCGTGAGAAGTCCGTTCTGGTGCGTTTCAAAGCTTGCGGTCGAGACGGGCAGCGAGTGCCGAGTCTCTTACTGGAGCCAAGAAGGCACGAATCTCTGCCACCAAGGCTTGTTGGAGGTCTGCGCTGGCTGAGTCGCGTTTGACACGGGCTTGGTCGCGCCAGTGTTGGTGGCGTTGGGGGCGGAAGCAGACGAGGTGCCCGAAACGGCGGCAGAGGAGGACAGGGAGTTGACGATGCTTGGGCTGACCTTTTGAACGGAGCCGTTGTTGCTTCCGACCTTCTTCTCGCCGAAGAGGGAAAGAGGGCCGATAGGAGCGTTGTAGATGGCCAGCAGCTGGTTCAAGAGCGATTGACCGAACACGAGGTACGCCTGCCAGCTGATCAAGGAGCTCGCGGTGGTCTGGAATTGGCAGCCGTTCAGGTTAGCGTTCTTGCCGGCGAATCGGTCGTCCAGCCAAGCGAAGGCAGCGGGGGAGCCAGTGATGGCGAGAGATTGATGCTCGCCGACAAGCTCCTTGACGTAGAGAACGTTCCAGTTGTTCTTGCAGATCTCATTGTTGACGTAGTTGTCGACATCAGCAGTAGGAACGATCTCGTCAATCATGGCCTGGTGAATGCGGACGGGGAAAGCCGGGGCCTTTCTGGGGTTGAATTGGCTGGATCCCAGAGTGTTCTTCGCGAGAGCATCGGCAATGACTGGGGTGTTGAGCACGGTGTCTTGAGGCTGGTCAAAGTAAGAGAAGACATCTTGGAATTGGAGAGCATTGACAGCGTCGACAAGGCAGTATCCGGGGGTGTAGCGGAATTGAATCAGGCGCTCGGTTCCGTTCGCAGTAGCGTGCTGGTTCAGGTAGGCGTTGAAGTCAGGGAAGATGTTTCCGGTACCCGCGAGACCGGCGAACGCGACACCAGCAGCCTGTTGCTTGTTCAGGAGCAGGAAGGTGTTCTTGGGGTTCACGGGGATACCACCGTAAGAAGCACCGACGATGAACTTGCTGAGGTCAGGAGCGTAGTCGGCCTGGTTTTGCACGGCCCACGAGGTAGCAAGGGCACCACCAGAGTAGCCAAAGAAGGCAACACGGGCATCCCTTTGAGAGCCAGAGTTGAGGTTGATGCCAAGCCGGTTCAAGCCTCCGCGAGCACCGTCGAGAACACCCTGTGCGGCAAGCCTGCCAACGGAGAAGCCTGCCTTGGGTCCCTCGTAGTCGGTGAATACAAGAATGTAGCCCTGGCTGAGCTCACGGTTAGCAAAGACGAGCTCGATGGCAACATCGTAGTCGCCGCGACCGCTGCCCTTGGTGAGCTTGTAGCTCGTAGCGCAGTCCTTGGATGCGGAGTTTTCGGCAGATTGGAAGACGAGGACACGGCGAGGGTTGGACAGGGCGTTGTAGGGAACAAGGACGGTGGCAACGGTGGTGCTTGCTCCGCCGAATTGGTCGGTGGAGCGAACGAGCAGTTGAGTGGCAGACTGAACGTTTTGGTTCAGGTCGATGAGCTGACCGTTGAATGTGAAAGAGTAAGACGAGGAGGAGATGGGACGTGTCTTGAGAACGTCTCCCGGCTTGCTGCGATTGAGCTCGTCCTCAGTTGCGTTGTAGAATGGGTCCACGGAGGGAAGCGGCAGGGCCTGGCGAGCGTACATTGTGCGCGCAAGGACCTCGTCACGGTCGGCGGAACGTCTGGAAATGCGAGGAAGCTTTTCGGGCGTCTCTACGGTGGCAGACACCACGGCAGCGAACGCTGCGACGAAGACCGCCACGGACAACAGACGAGTGAACTGCATTTTGGTGGAGATGCAGCGTTTGACGGGAAAGGATTGTAGGGTGGACACGGACGCCAAAGTGAAGGAAAGTCGATGCCAAGGGGTACGGAAAAGATGTGGAAAGCTCGCGAGTCACGAAAGTAGTAAGATATATATATATATGAGAGACCGTGGTCTGTCCGATGATGGCGGACCAAGACTCGAGCGAACGGGAGAAGGAGAGGGGACGAGTGGGGAAGGGCAACAGCGGAGAGATGTGAGATCGGCGGAGGGTTGGTGGTTGAGACAAGCGGACCGTTTATGACGAGAGTAAGCTTTGATCCTAAGGCGATGCCGAGCAGACCTGAGACACTGGCGCAGGCTTGGCCCCGGGGCAGTTCGAGACTCTCATGACTGTGAGCGGCCCTGCCAGGCCAATCGGACGCTTCCTTCGCTCAAGGGTAGACTTGACGGAACGTTGCTTCAACTCGTCGTGCGCTGCGACAGGCAACTCGGCTGGGAACCTCCGGCTGCACATCCCTGGCCAGACCCTTCTCCTAAGGGCCAACGTTGAAGGTCATGTATTCGGCAAGCAGGAACAAGGCTTCTGAACGATGTGCTGCAGTATCCCGATGCAAGTGTCACTGGCCTCCGTGCTGAGTAAGGGAACAGGAGCAGCGTTGTGGCGTGCTATCTACAGGAGCAGCCTTTTCGCCGCATTGCTCTGTTAGACAGGTGCAGCGCTCTCGCCATCCCGCCTTCTTTGGCTTTCTGGAGTGGATCGCGCCGCCTAATCACCAGGGGCGGTCCGAGCAGAAGTGCTGCGCTCAAGCCGCGAGAGAAGGCGTCTTCAACTCCTACGCTGCCTTAGGGAAGAGGCCGGCAGACGTCGAGCACGAGAGGGGTGGGGAGGGGGCCTCATTTGTTCGCATTGGGGTAGCGGACCCGCAGTTCCCGGATGGAGCAAAGACGGTCGATGGAGAAAAGCAACGCAGGCTCGGCAAATTGTACAGCTGCTGTGAAAGCGTGCAGACTGACGACAGGCCTGCCTTTGCCGGCGAAGTGAACGGCTCGGGGCAAAAGATGCTTTATGCAGCTCTTGAACCATCATGCATGCACCGCGTGCAGCTTGCCTCACCACTTCGCTGCTGCTGCTGCTGTACACCGACATCCATTCACTGAGGCCAGCCCCGCAACCCGTCAAAAGACCTCCGCACACAGAAAGTTCCGCCTTGCCCGCCCAACGCAGACCCAAACGCCATGCCGCACGCTCCCCGACGATCACCCAGCAGCTACGGAACGACCGCGTGGGGCTTGCAGCAAAACAACAGCAAAAGCCTGTGCTCGGTGGACTCGCCGGCAGCGATCCTGAGTGCGCACCCAAACATCTCATCAGCGGCTTCTTCCCCCTTCATTGTGATCAAGTCTCCTATAGCTGTTCTGGCCAAGATCCGCGACTGGACCAAGCGTACGTCATAAACAAAGTGTGAAACCACCGTGCTGAGACTTGTCTCGCAACCCAAATCGAAGCCCAGCCGCATGCTATTCGGTCGATGTCTTACAGTTATAGCGCGAGGGCCCGCATATCGGCAATTGGAGCAAAATGACCCGTCAGCAGCGAGGCAAAGTTTCGCAGTCAGTCAGACATTCACATTGTACAGCGTACCATTATGATGATAGGAGCAGAGTTAATTCCGCGCGGCAACTGTTGTGGTGCTCCTCGCGGGTGCTGCAGCGACGTAGGTGTTTGCGCGGAGAATGAAGGTCTGGGCGATTGAAATTGACTCCGAGCTGAAAAAAACTTTCTGCGGCTTCTTCTGATGCAGCCGTCATGCATGCGGGCAAGGCGCTTGTGCCGCTACAAATGCAACTCCGCACGCGGTCGAGTCGCTCAGGCGAGTCGTCTTGCGCCTCAGCGCGCTAGCTGGGTGTGCATGCAGAACATCCAGCAGCAGGCGTCAAAGTCGTGAGTCTCAGGAACCGCAATTATTGCGTGGGCGCCTGCCTCTTTCAGACGAAGTCGTCGCGCGTGGAGGGGACATCAGCCCCCCTAACAACGCGTGCGCACGCACTTCGTAAATTGACGCGATCGAGCGCTGCCTGCTGTCGAACGCGGAGGGGACTTACCCCGGCTACCCCCGCCCCCTACTCCAACCCCCCGCAAAGTCGAGGCTTGCTCCTGTGCGTACAGCATGACTGCTGGCCCAGTCGTGGCTTTTCATCTCTGCACGTCAAAGCTGTATCTAGGCTGAAGAGGCGTTGATGAGAGCGCGGCGCGGAGACTGCGCGGCGCGTGGCCCGAGGCCAAAGGCCCAACCAAGCTCGACCAGCACAAGGCTTGAGCGTAGGGCTCAACTTTTGCGCCGCTCCCTGCACAATCGTTCCTGCGAAGAGGCTCATGCAGAATGGCGGCCGACGCCCGAAGCAGATGCTAGCGCACCATGAAGCGAACATAGCCGAACGGCACGAGCGTTCGCAGCGTACGCATGCAGGGCCGGTTCGCTAATTGCTGCCTTGCGACGGACTTTCTTTGACTCAATCGTTCGAGCAGCATGCGGCAGAGCAAAGATGGCGACATTCGATCCTGATTTGATTGGCAGCCGTCAATCTTGAATACCTTGCTGTCTGCATGTTGATCCGACGATCGATCACCTCTTGCTACTGTATACGGTACGTGTGTTGCTCCGCGAGTGGCAGAGAGGTCTGGTCACCGTGCATTATATGCAGATCGAGGATTACACATAATTCGTGCTTACTTTTGATCGGATGCGCAGTCGCGACGACTTCAACCCTGTCCCACCTCCCAGAAGACATCCATGTTGGAACGTGCCACACGTGATAGTGGTGTGTGAGTGCTGTGGAGCGCCCCATCACGGACCAACAAAATCAAACTTGATCGAAGCCTGTTGAGTCCATTCGTGATTCTTGATTGATGATCCGAGATGCTGTCCACCGCGGTCCAGTCTTGGACATGCTCGTCAACCTTTCAGGATGCGAATCACTTTGACGATACGGCTTGACAGCTGGAGCCTCAGCAAAGCAAAACGCTCGTTGTACACGTCGCTCTCGACCGGCGCTTCCGGGCTCATCAAGTTCGATCGCTCCTCTGGCCGCTCGTGCTGCCTCGCTCGTGATTGTTGCAGACTGGATGAGGGGCTATCCGCGCGTAATCGCGAGTCGCGAGTCTCTTGCTCTGCAGATGGAGCTACAAGATGCTGTCTATTGCTGCCGAAATGCACACTTCATCTGAGTTGAGGTGCTATGACTTGTACCCCTGTCGATCCGAAAGAATGAAAAGCCACTCATCTCGATCTGACCAAGAACCCCTCTGCAGCAACCGTGCTCGCCATCAGGATGAGATGGCAGGTGAAGAGCATTGACCGCCCGCCCGAGACGTTCGGATGCGCGGCTCTAAGCTCGGTCGAGAAGTGCGGGATCGAGGTCCATCAGCAAGCTAGCGAAGCAGACCTAGCAGGCTTACTTTGCACACCAAATCGCAGCTTATCGTTGCGACTGATCGACTCACGCGACTCCAGCAGCGCTCTTGATGATTGATTAATATTTGCTGCCGGGGCATGGTGCACTTGTCAGCCCGAAGTCGCGACTCGTGTTGTCACTACAATCGTGACTAAGCGGAGGCCCAGCTCCATGGCAGTCACAGTCCAAACAGCCTGAGGTTTGCGTGGGACTGCCATCGCTAATGCGTAAGTGCTCCTGAGGCACGACTTGAGGCTTAACCTAGCTCCTTGCTGGGCTGTCGCAGCTGAAAATCGCTATTCAGGGGTCTCTTCCTTTGTGCCATGGAAGCGAGTCAGCAGCGATCACGGGTCGCAACAATCAGCACGAGTTATTCATGATCTAGGGCATCACGCTCGTCACGACTAGAGCAACATGCGTCGTTCGAGGACTCCTTCGCCTGTTCATTGGACTACCACGAGACATATTCGTACCGCGGCAAAATCCATTCAGACAATCAGAATAAGGGAGCGAGCAATTGAGGTGACACAGTTGTATATACACCATGCATGTGCGACAGCCGTAGCTGCTGCGCCAGTCATCATCCCGCCGTTCTTGTATCCTCGACAGGCAGCAGCTGTTCTACCGTCACGGTGCTGCTTGGCACAAGGTACACGCCAGGCGTCTTCCATGCAACGGTCGGGGAGGGGGCAATGAAAAGCCGGAGCGTCAGGAGCGGTCTCCTGGCTCACCTCATCGTGAGTGCTACTGTTGAATACACGGATACAGTCACGAGTCGTCTGGACGCGAGGATGGGTTCTCTGCCCCCTCATCGCGTCGCCGATTGATCACATGAAACAAAGTGCGCCGCAAGTCTCAGGTCGATTGATTGAGTCGACAGAAATTCTACTCGCTCTTCTTCTTTGCGATTGCTGATCACCTGCTTCTTGTCCCGTCGCAGCGAAGAGTCCTTTCGCCTGTCACATGAAGTTGCATGATGGGTGTGGCAGCCATTGCTGGTCGATCTTAATTGTGCGCTTGCTGTAATCACGCAAGCTGCCTGATGCTGCTGGAGACCTGCAAGAGCATCATATTGAAGGCAAGCAGCAGCAGCAGCATCGCCAGCAAGATCTTCGTTTGATTGTGGGCGGCTGACGAGATGCAGGATGGTCGCAATCTGTTTGAGACTAAATCAAGAGCAATGACCATCATGAGTCTGGTGGATGCTTGATTCTGATTCATCCGCGGGAGCGTCAATCAAAAATGCGAGCAGCCCAGCACCGAGGTCAGGCGATCGCCGCGAGGCAATCACGAATGTGTGATTGTCTGCTTTCTGATGGCAAGCAGCAGCAGCTATGATCGATGGGGCTGCAGCAGGACTCTGACTCGTGTGTCTACAGGGCACAGAACAAGATTGCATGGGGCGCACTTTCCTTGGCACGCCGTACGGTCGATATTGAAGGTGAGGTCAGGGAAAAGCCGAGATGCAAGCTGAATCGCATGCTAGCCATCGCAACGCTCACGACTCGTGAGTGTCTGCGCCAAAGCGGATGAGCGGTCGCTCGTCGGACTCGCCTAGGCAGCACCCACCCAGCTTTGTGCGGTAGCACATCTTCCTGCTAGCTGCCGCTGCTGCTGCCGCTGCTGCTGCTGATGATGTCAAAGGCTAATCGCGGTCTGCGCGGCAGCAATCATGACTGGTGGAGTGCGCACGCAGCAGCAAGTCTGGGTTATTCTGTTTGCGCAAGCGCTATATGGGTATATGAGCTTATTGTGATGCGCTCTCACGCGATTGCGATTCTTGCCCACCCTTGTTGATTTGAGACTCGACTCGGTCAAGAACGATGACTGGTGCTATGGTGGCCCGGACTCGCAGCCTGCGAACGTCACGAATCTGGCTGGAGAAAGCTGCTGTACGGACAGGTGCACTCGAGATTGATTGTGATTGCGCCCAACCAAGCTTGCATCAGATCAATTGAGACGAGTCTGCCCCGCTCGCCCGAATGGTCATCGACGTGCGCGCGGTCGTGGAGGATCGGCGGTGTATAGCAGCAGCAGCAAGCAAGGGGTCGGGCACGGGCCCCGAGTCTGCTCTTGCCGCGCCTTGAAGGCGCGCGCGGCGCGCGGCGCGTAATGTCTTCTGAGGTGTGTGGAACAAAGGCTCGACTTGGTGCTCTCAAAAGATCCACCACATGAGCGCTGCAGCAGATGAACGTTTATTGAGCTTTCTTGTTGCGATCGAACATCTTTCCCAAAACCGAACAACACACTCTCGCTCACTCGACGAACTTTCAAGCCGCCTCTTGACCATCATCAACCCTACCACCTTCCCCCCTTCGCATCGTGGGTACATTACACATGCGCCTTGCCATTGCGTCTCCGTTCCACGACGGAGGCTTCCACTCACGACCCACCCGTCCAGCGTTGCCAACAACGCCAATCCATCTGCTGTAATCCAGAACTCTTGCCACGATGGCGCCAAAGCTCGCCTCCAGCGGCGAGACGGCCGCGCTCATTCGCTCGCTTCAGGAAATGTCCGTCGAGCAACAAGCTGTCTTGGCACAGAAGTCCGTCACACTGCTCGGTGAGTTGAATATCCAGACGGTGCTCGCAAGATTCCAAGATGCGGGTTCATCTTCGACCCTGCTCACGCAAAGCACGAAATTGTCTTCTTCGTGATCGTCGCAGATGTCCAAGGTCGTCCAGATGTGGGAGGCACGAAAGTAAGCAACACTTCTCAGTCCCACCCCATGCTTACTCGTCAACGTCGTGCTGATTCCTCGTCATCGTCATCCACGTCCGAAAGGGTCGTCCTATCCCTCTGTATGCCAACATGTACAGTCTTGGTATCGCAGGTCAAGCTGCTAATAGTGGTGGTAACAAGCCATCTGCTCGAGGTGCTCGCGGCGGTGCGACACCGGCCCGCGGGGGTCGCGGTGGAGCCGTGAGCTCCCGTGGCTCTGGCACCGGCAAAGCTGTGCGAGAAGTCTTCCACTACGATGTCATCATCGAGTCCGTACCTTACACAGGCGACGATGGAAAGTGAGTGAACCGATCGAGTAATGACTGACCTACAAGGCGAGCTGTCGTTGACCAGGGCCCGACTCCTCTCCCTACAAGGACTCGCGGCACCCCAAAGAAAGACGACTTTCCGCCGCGCGTCAATCACGATGTGCTCGAGCACGGTCTAGCTCAAGCCGTCAAGCGAGGCGAGATCACACAGGAGATGGCTACCAGTGTGGCATACGATGGGCGCAAGAATGCCTACTCGCCAACGGAGCTACCAATTGACAAGAACCAGCTCAATGTCGAACTTCCGCCCAAGCCCATCATCGGCGCCACCACTGAGCAGCAGCCATCCGGAAAAGAACGCCCTCGTCAGTTCAAGCTGACCTTCACTCAGGTTGCCACGGTGGACTTTGAAATCCTAGAGCCCTTCTGCGCTGGCGATCGCAACACTATCCATGCCGGCGGCGCTACGACGAATGAAAAGGTCACGACGGCTCTCCAAGCTCTCGATGTCCTCGTTCGCCACGATCCAGCAAAGAAATACAAGGCTCATGGTGGAGGCGGTCGACGCTTCTTCGATCCCAAGCTTGCCGTCAAGATCAGCGGTGGAGCCGAAGTCTACAAGGGTTTCTTCGCCAGCATCCGTCCAACCATGTCCGGCCCTGTTCTTAACATCGACGTGGCCTTTAGCGCTTTTGTGAGCGGTGGTGATTTCCTCACCGTCGCTGCTGAGGTGCTAGGGCTCGGCGGTGGTGGTGGTGGTGGTGGTCGTGGCGGCCGCGGCGGCGGTGACCGTGGTGGCCGTGGTGGTGGCCGCGGCGGTGGCCGTGGCGGACCTCCTCCTGGCGCTCATGGTGGAGGCTCTTTGCGCCTCGATCCGAGACAACAGCAAGAGCTGCGCAAGCGCCTCAGGATGGTGCAAATTCAGGTGACGCACCGACCGTCGAACAAGCTACAGATCTTCAAAGGATTCTCGCCCCGACCGGCGAATCAAACCATGTTCAACTTGCAAGACGGCACACAGGTAAGATTCGCACGAGCCGTCGCCGTGACAAATGAGCTTACTGATCTGCTTTGCTCGAACATCAGACTTCCGTCGCGGACTACTTCTTTAAGACGTACAGCATTCGTCTACGCCATCCAGACCTGCCCTGCCTTCTCCTCGGTGGCAATGGCACGTTCGTCCCACCCGAGCTAGCAAACATCGTCCCTGGTACCCCGATGAATCCCTTGAAGCTCAGCGTGGATCAGGTGCGTCGTTCGTTGCCACTTCATTCTCGTGCGGCATGGTGCAAAGACTGACCTACAACCTTGACCGTCACAGATCTCTGACATGCTCAAGATCAGCGCTCAGAAGCCGGCAGAGCGTGCAGGCCGCATCGCCGAGATTCGCAGCAATGAACTCGCCATTGAGAAATCTGCTCGCGTCCAAAGCTGGGGTCTCGATCTGTCGCCGACGCCCATGGAAGTTACCGGTCGTGTGCTGGCGCCGCCGAAGGTCGAATATGGACAAGGCCGAGTTCCTGCGCCTATCAACGGATCCTGGAACCTCAAAGCAGTCAAGTTCGCTAGCTGCCCCTACCAGCTCGTCACATGGTCTGTAGTCAACTTCACTCGAGCTCCTGACCAGGTCGTGCAATCCTTCGTCCGTGCCTTCGTGGGGTACATGCGTGAATTGGGCATGGGCGTAAGTGAATCATTGGACGCGATCTCGAGACGCGATACTGATCAACTCTCCGAACAAACGCCTTCAGATTGTCGAGGAGCAGCCAGCAATTTTCCGCGGAGATCCATTCGACAGTGGTCTCATTCAAGGCACTCTGAACAACGCAGGTCGCGAGGCCTTTCAGCAAGCCAAAAAGAAATTTGCCGGCAAAGCTGTGCCCCCACAATTGTTCCTTTGCGTGATGGATCGATCAGATGCACCTTTCTACGACCAGATCAAGCGGACCTGCGCCCTTTTGTTGGCGAGCCCAGTGCCATCGCAGGTCGTCAATGCGAAGAAGGCGTTTAACGACCGTGGCCAGCCACAAGTGAGTCCATTCGCTTTCATGCACCAGTCGTTCCAGAATGTGCTCAACCTTCGCCATGTCCTCCCAGTACTGCGCCAACGTCGCCATGAAAGTAAACGTGAAGCTCGGAGGTCAGAACCAGGTGAGTGCTGCACCGTGCTTCTCATGACGACGCACATGCGAGGTGCTCATACTTCGCGATGCCCGTCTGCAGATCATCGCTGGACCACAGAACTTGCCAGGACTTCCTCCGCAAGCCATGCTGATCGGAGCCGACGTTTCTCACGGGTCGCGTGGCTCGACACTTCCAAGTATCGCCGCCTCTGTCGGCACCATGGACGCAAAGAGATCTCGCTATAGCAGCGAAGTCCGTGCTCAGTCCAACAAACGTGGTGGCGCGCAAGAAGTTATCTTGGATGCAAAGAACATGTTCCTAGGACATCTGAAACGTTGGAAGGATTCTTCGCCACCCTCTGCTATTCTAGTACTACGCGACGGTGTTTCCGAAGGACGTGAGTTGAACGCGACTGATTCGCCGCACCTTTCAACGAGATCGTTGATGAAGGCTTTCCTTCTCTTCAGAATACGTGCAAGTCGTCGAAGCCGAGTACAAGGCTCTCCGCGAGGCTTGCCGCGAGTGGAGGCCGAACTTTCAAGTGCCAATCACTTACATCATCTGCGCAAAGCGACACCACATTCGCTTCTTTGCACGCAATCCGAACGACAACGACCAGCGCTCACAATGTCTGCCAGCTGGAACAGTGGTGGACACTGAGATCATGCATCCATTTGGTTGGAGCTTCTGGCTACAGGCTCATGGAGGCTTGGTTGGCACGCCACGCCCTACTCACTACGTCGTCCTGCGCGACGAGAACAAGTTCACCTCTGACAACTTGCAGCAATGCATCAACAGTCTCTCATACAGCTTCCCTCGTGCAACGAAGGCTGTAAGCTTGGCTCCTCCCGCTGTTCTAGCCGATCTCCTTGCGGTGAGTGTGCCTTGATACATTGGCGAAAGCCAGTAACAAGAGAGCTGACTTTCGTCTCATTCGCCGTTGCGCAGGAGAAGGCCCGTGCGCTGATCCACGGCGAAGCTATGTCGGATATCGAAAGCAGCACGCAGGCGTCTTCGGTCGCGCCAACCGATCTTAGCGAAGCCGAGGCCCGTGCTGTGATGAAGCAATTGGAGCGAGGCGCAAACAACCACTTTGTGGAGTACCAGTGGTACCTCTGAGAGCCCCCCTCTCGCCCCTGCTGGCTATACTCGACCGCTCTTCTCACAAATGAGAGCCAGATCGATTTCTAACATGTCTTCGCTGTAGTCCGAACCGAAATCAAAGACGCAATGATAAATCCTGTTCAATCGAGTGCTTGCTCCGAAATCCCCAGCAAAGGCACGGTCATTGACGACCTGCGCGTCGTAATGATCCTCAGTCCATCGATACCGCCTGACTGAATGACTAGCAAAGCGCGGTTGGTGCTGAAGGACGCCCTTGACTGTGTCCACGACGCGAAATGCGGTACGGGTCTTGTGATTCTAACGTGACGCGGCAACGCGTGTGGTGCGTTTCATCTGTGCATGTAGCGCATGCGAGCCGCGGCAGGTGCGCGCCTCTTGACTTCCATCATGGCTGCTCGGTTCTGCTGACATTCAACCAAAGAGACACAAAACCAAGCGTCGACACCTGTGCTTCTGTCCTAGTGAGCCTTCCACAAGATTTCTTGATCTGTGGTGCGGAAGCAGTCATAGTCGCTCGAGATGACGTGCATCTTGGCTGTGTGCTGCGCCTGAATCACCAACTCTGCGCTTGCGGTTCTCGCCGACGCTCGCAGCTTCTGAGCTCGCATACGAGGCCAAGCTGCTGCTCGTCACAACTCCTACTGCCTGAGCATAGCTCGGTGACATCCCTCGCCATTCACCACATCCATCATGAAACGATCGACTTCGCCAGCATCTACAAATGTGGCCCCGCAACCACACGTGGGGCCGGAATTATCCAGCTCTGAGCCTGCAATGTCAATCCAGGCTACAGCATCGGCTCAGCCTTTAGGTGACGCACCCGTAGTCAAGACCGAGTATGCGGAGATGATGTCGACAGCTACTCCTGTGCGCTCTGCGAGCCCAGAGCTGCCTCGAGCTCCAAGTGAAAAGCCAGACGATCCACCGCACACCAGAGAGTTGAAGGTCAATGGCCCACACGAGACCACAGCAGCAATAGAGCAGGCGCCTCAAGGGACGGGTGACGGGCTGGAGACTAGACCGCGCAAAAAGATGAAGTCGTCGGCCTTTGTGCCGTGGAGCGAGAGCGCTGCAAGAGCTGCTGGAGTCGACGAAGACACTTTGGCACAACTGCGGGCTGCCAGCCAGCCCTTCGGGGCCATCTCAGAATCTTTGCGGCACGAGGTGGATCCAAACGAGGCACTCGTGGATGAGGCAGGAGGGATTCTAGGCGAGCCGACATCGCAAGAGATGCAATTCAAGACTCACTCGTCTGCTCATCTCTCGCCCTACGATCTGCTGCAGTCGGACGAAGCTGCAGGAGCTCATGCAACTTCTTCATTGAGCTCGGTCCCTTCGCCGATTGAGAACGCTACTTCCGCTTCCAAAACGAAGCGCAAGAGCAGCACGAGCGACAACAAGGCGGCTCAGAAGTCCAAGACGGAAAGGGACCGCACACGGGCATTGGTCTTGGCAGAAGCCGCCGCTTCTGCTGCTGCTGCTGCTACACTAGAGAAGGAAAGGGAAGCAGAGAGAGAGCGCGAAGCGCGAGAGAGGGAGGAAGGGCTAGGAGACGAGGATGAGGACATGAAGCTGTACTGCGTCTGCAAAGCCCTGTATGGTGAGTGCTAAAGCGACATTGAGCAGACGCCGCCCTTCCAGCTGATCAGCTGATGAACCCCTCGTGTTGAAACTCCCGTGCTTTCGACAGACGAGGAGCGCATGATGATTGCATGTGACCGCTGCGATGAATGGTACCACACCTCGTGTATGGACATGGATGATGCGAAGGCGGAGCTAGTAGACATGTTCATATGTCCTGTCTGCGAGCCGAGTGAGTGTTCTTGCTCAGTCTCAACTTGCATAGAATAACGGGACCATAGCCACATGACGCCAAGGTGGAGAGGCTCTGCTGACGCAGCCTGTCCCTCTGCAGAGACGACGGACAGAACGACTTGGAAGACGAAGTGTCTCCGTCAAGGGTGCACCCACGCTGCCCTTCCGCCGCTCTCGAGGTACTGTGGCCAGCGCTGCGGCATTCTGGTAGCTGCTTCCAGAATTTCCAAGACCAAGTACGCCAAAGCAGGGGCCAAAGCGACTGCTGAGAAGCTGCTGGGGAACGTGGTGAAGAACGCGACGAAGAGAGAGGGCCTGTGCGTCTGGGCAGACGTAGGCGCTCCCCGTGCTTCGATCAACACCTCATCAAATCAAGAGCTCCAAAGATGGAGATCAAAGTTCCATCCAGGGTTAGGTGCCTTCGACATCATGGCAAATGGGGACAATGCGGGTGTGAAGGATGACGAGCATGCCCTGTCCCTGCGAACGCCCGCGAGCGCAGAAGCAGAGGCACTGCACCATCTTGGTCTTAAGTCGCAAATTTTGGCTCATCGTCACAATGCAGCGGTCAAGACGTTTAGCATGGTCGAGGCACGCATCACGTTGCTCGAGCTTGCAAAGCAAAGGATTTCGACTCTACCTGCCGTGGAGCCGGATGAGGGCGCCATTGCATCCTCGACGACAAGCACCAAGAAGAGCAAGTCGAAGAAGCGAGATACCGAGGAGGGCACAAAAGGCCTGCCGAGGTGCGGGTACGATGAGAGGTTGCACTGGGACGATTATAATTTTCACGCGTGGTGGACGAGTGACAAGGCTCAGTCGATTCTCAAGGGCGAGACTGCCTTGGACGGTGTCCTCAGTGGCCCGGGCGAGGATACACTCAAGGCTCAGGGATCTGGCGCGTCGACCATTTGCGGGTTGGCCAAACGAAAGTGCAAAAGACACGCTGATTGGGCGACTGTGCGGGAAGCCGACTTCGAAGTCGAGCGAGAGCTGGTGGTGAGCTGGCTTGAGTGTGTGCCTCCTGCAAACGTGTTACTGCGCTCAAACCTTTCCCCCCCCCCCCCCCCCCCCCCCCCTCTCTCTCTCTCTCGCTGCGCCAATACGTCTCTTGTCCTACAGTCCAAGGACGTCAGTCAACTGGCAGCAGAGATCGAGCGCTGCAAGACAGATCAGGAGCATTGGGTGGCTGCCGCCGAAGCATCACGACGCGCTCAGCTTGCTGTGGAGGAGGCGAAGAATCTGGCTGTGGCTGCTCAGATCGCGAGGGATAATGGTATGCGAAGAGTCACGACCTTAGGCGCTGGTGCCCTTAAATGAGACGATGACGACGTGATTCTGGCAAACTCAAGACGCGAGCCAGAAGCTGTCTTTCGACCCAACTGTTCTTCGTCATTAGAACCACAGGAATCTTTTCATCTGTATAATAATCCACACTCTGTGACTACAATGCACGCGAACACTCACACCGGTGCTTTCAAGCTCGAATCGGTGCGGGAGATGTGGAGCATGACTTGCCCTGGAGCGCGCGTGTGCACTCTCGATCCAAGCACGCCGAGGCTGGACCACCGCGCAGTCTGCCATCTATAGCAGCGGCCATTCGCAGACACTGCAGGGCGGCGACCCGCAGCACCGACCACCAGATGTCGCTTCAGCTTCATTCTCGGAAACGATGGACGGTCGGGAAAAACTTCAGCTTGCCTGTTGCTACGCTGCGAAACCGCAAACCTGCACAAGATTTCACGCTCAGCGTTGTGTCTCGAGCACACGCTCATCCATTCAAATTGAGCACTGTGCATCGCGGATCGCGCACAAAGGGAGGCAGTCGATCGATCGCGATCTGAATCAGAATGTGAATGTCCATTTTTAGCGCGCAAAGTCGATGACGCAGTTCGACACACCCAGTGATATTCACGTCATTCAAATTCACCTTGTTCACATTCCAGATTCACCATTCAAGATTGCTCCATCGACTCGACTGAGCGACGTTGCAAGCACGAGCACCGATCGAGACGAGAGTGTCAGTCGAGAGGGTGTACACGACGAGAATAGAAGCGCGACCTCATGTTTCGCTACGCCTTTCGCCTTACTTAGCGTCCTTTCGAGAATGAGCTCCGACGCGCTCGATGGTTTGTGCCGTGCGTAGCTCACTGCATGCCTCGCCCTGATGCGGGCATTGGCGCCTACAATGCATCCGCCAGCAGTCACAGTCACGAAGTCAGTAATGTGTCGAGTTTGAGTGCGAGCAATTCGGGCGGTGTGGACAAGATGACATGACGCACAGCACAACCGCTCTGCGTCGGAGACGCTTGCGAGAACTCGACGTGATGGCGATGCTGGCCTATTTTACTTGCACGCAACGCGCACGCTCGGTGGGTCAACATGCAGCTAGGCGTTGCTGAACGCCCACATGCAGCTCGGGTCGCGCGCGTATGGAGACATCGGCCCGAGCTTCTATCGCGAGACTGCGCCGTACGCGCGAGCGCCTTTGCGTTGCATGACATGCTGCACACCTGCATAGCAAGCCCTCGCTGGATCTGCATGGCTCCTCTCTTGATCGTCCCTCTCGTGATGGCATCTCAGTCCGCCTGGCACGGCGACGGTTCGGAATTTGTGGCACAGCGTGGTGACCGCTCCGAAGCTCGTCTTGCGATTCTGCTCTGCGCCATGTATCCAGCTCAGCGCGCAAAGCTCGCTTATTCGACGGCAGAGTCAAGGGCTCATGCTAGCGTACGCCTACGTGCATACATGGCGAGCATGACCGCACGTACGACGCGCATTCTGGGGTCCAAGCAGGCGAGAAGGGAGGGGTGCGGAAAACGTATAAGTATGCCATCCATTCGGGCATGCCCCCCATCCTTGTGAGCCTTAGACAACGTCTCACCCTTTCCTCCCACTCTGCTGTTCCATCTCTCTGCGGCTGGTCCGTACGTACTCCCTTGCACTTCTTCTACCCAACATTTGCCCAACGCAGCAACAGGTTTGCTTTCCCCCTTCCCAATCACCTTCTCCTCACAATGAAGCACCAATACGCAGTCTTTGTGGCCGTGGTGGCTGCTGCCATCGGCTTTGCTAATGCAGTCCCCATCAAGTGAGTGTCCAGTGTCATGTGATCTAGAGGCGTCGCCGTGCATGCTCACAATCAGCCTCCACGGCGCTATTCCTACCAGCATGGCCAACGGAGTGCAGATTGGCGAGCGCGACGCTTCACAGGCGATGAGCGATCTGAGGGCTCGCGGCTTCGACTTTGAAAACTTCTTCAATGGCAACAATCAGAAGGTGGAGATCAATGGCTCGACCACCAAGTATGGCCACAACTCGCACCCGTCGACCTCGACTTCCACGTCGTCCACTTCGACTTCTACCTCAACCACATCCACATCGACCAGCTCATCTCCCAAGTCCACCCCGACCAAAGCGGCTGACAAGAAGAAGGCTGACGAGGATGAGAAGAAGAAGAAGGACGAGGCAAAGAAGAATGTCGACAAGATGGAGAGCGTAGACAAGGAAGCTTACTGGAGAAAGTTCATCCACACCCTCCTCTCCGACGAGCCCATCGACAAGAAGGGCAAGGCACTTGAAGACATCATCGACGATATCAAGAAGGGCACCAAGCTGCCAGACACTGATGAGGACAAGAAGCACGCCAAGGACAGCGAGTCCAAGAAGAAGGATCACAAAAAGAAGAAGGACGAGGACAAGAAGAAGGAGGATGAGGACAAGAAGAAGGAGGATGAGAACAAGGACGAGGAGGAGGAGGACACGGAAAAGCGATCTCTCCGCTCCGAGGCTCGTTCTCCCGTCAAATGGTCCCATCCTCTGGCGCGAGCAATCATCGAGGACTCTGAGATCCGCGCACGAGCAGAAGAGATCTTCAGCATCGCAGCTCGTGACGAATCCGATGACGCTAAGAAGAAAGCCGCCGTCACCGCCGCAGCTGTCAACGCGATTGCGATTGCGTTGCGCCCTGATGCTGCGAAGCCGAAGCGCGACGTCTCTGATCCGATAATCGAGCCGCTTGGACACCGTTTCGACCGCCGCGCAGCCGGTGAGGGCGCTCCACCATCCGCGAGATCCCTCAACGCTCGTCGTGCCCCTGTATACAAGCCAGTCACCATGTTCTCTCGTGACGACAGCGATGACAACGACAAGACGAACGTTACTTGGGTCCGACCAAACAAGTGGGGTATCAAGCCCCTCTTTGGCGACGACAACAGCACCCACACTTCCTTGTCAGATCGTCTGAAGAGTGCAAAGGACAACTTCTTCAACGCAATCAAGGGAGATGACAAGAAGAACGGGGCTGCTGCTGCTCATGCACCCGCTGTCCTCATCACTGTATCCTTCGCTGCTGCGTCTGCCGCGGGAGTGTTCCTGCTCGCGTAGGCGCAAAGCTCCTCGTTTGCCTCCATTCTCATCTGCCAATGACATGCGCGTTTGCATACTTGCGAAGATCTCTACACGATGTTTGAAGGGTGCTTGTTGCCAGGCCGAGCGATTGCTGTGCGAGTGTAGGGCAATGTTTGTCCTGCACAATGCTCGGGTGTGTTTGTTGCTGGGCCGAGCAGTTGGTGTGCGAATCAGAGTGTAGGAGCATCAAAAGATTGCCATCCCGTCGGCCGAGCCAGGGTCAGCAGGTTCGGGACACTGACCAGGACTCACGTGACCTTGACTTTTCTTTGGCCGGCTTTCACGCAGCGACGATCAGGCAGGCTGACAAGGCTTGAACGCAATATGACGTCTGCTGAAAAAGCCGCGAGCCGCGAGCCCGCGCACCACAGGATGTTGGGGAAAAGCCATCATGCAGAGAGGCATGGGAGCTGTGTTAATTGGTGCGGTGGTTAAAGTCGCGTGCGTCTGTTCATATCGCTGCGCATGTGCGGACATGCACATCATGACGATCGAGCTGCTTGCTGTAGCGTCGCCAGCACGAAGCCGTGAGCGTGATGAGTGATGTGATGCAGAGGCAGCAAGCAGCAGCAGCCCGGGCGGCCACCTTGTTGTCGACCGGAGCAAAAAGCGAGGAGAGACCGCCTATGCTCGCGCGATCGACGCTTGCCGCGGCCCGCATTGGTGGGGCTCAGCAGCCAGCCGAAGAGCAGCTTGTTTACCCGACCGCGTAGATGCAAGCAAGCCTTCTGAGAGCGGTCGCGAGTCGCTCGCTGCTACAGTGAGTATAGGATGTGTCACGCAAAGGGCGCTGCTTGGTGAGCTGCTTGCTGAATCGCTTGCTATCTCTTCGAACAGCCAGCCTGCAGCTTTCAACAGGGAAAGCGGTGCGTGAGTGGAGCGCTGCTGCGTGCATGCTGCACATGGGCTCGCTGCAAGAGCTGCACAGTCACGAGTGTTCAGTTCAGGGTGAAAGCGAGATCGAGGGCGCGTCTGCATGCACAGCAGCCATGGCAGCTAGCGAGTCAAAAGAGTCACTCATGACTCACTCACATGTGCTGCGCTCACGCGTGAGAGCGAGCGTATCTTCCGATCTTTGGGCGAAAGATGACTATGACTCTCGATCGCGCGCTCTGGAGCGTAGGGCACCGCACCGCAATACACGGCGGGCGCGCGTCGACTCTCACAGCAGCACTCGACTCGCGACTCACGACTCGACTCGACTCGACTCGATCCGGCTTTTGATGCGCGCTCTTGTTGCCGAAAGCTTCGCTACCTCGATCGCTCGCTGCTGCTGCTGCTGCTGCTGCTGCTGCTGCTGCTGCTGTGCACAGACACCCGTGACGCTTGCTTGGCTTGCCGGGCCACATCCCAGTGCGCGAGATGAGCCCATGCAGGCGTCTGACCCGCCTTTCTCCAGCCCCCCTCTCCCCGCATGCTCCCCCCCGCAAAGGCGCATAGACGTTGCTTACACCAGCCCCGCGCTGCTGAAAGCCCAACGCTTGCCGCGCGTTGCAACGTACGTCTTGCGCGCGGTGCATGGGCTGCCTTGCCTGGCTCTTCTCTGCATCCGAGCGCTCGTGAGTGGTTGAGTGTGCGGATGCGCTAAAAGCCGACATGCTCGCTCGCTCATGCCCTTCATCCCTTCCCATCCACATCATCCTCTACGCAAGATTACTTTCCCCCAAAGCCTCACAGCTCTCAAAAAGACTTTCAGCCTCACCCACGCACACATCGAGTCAAAATGTCAGACTTCAAGTCCAAGGCTTTGTTCGACCAGATCACTGAGGGTCTCAACGGCATGTCCGACAAGGAGAAGAAGGACATTCAAAAGGTGAGTGTGACTTCACACGGTCTGGTCATCAGTGGAGCTGGCGCTTGGACGGGCGGCCTTGTAATGAGATCTCGCCTCCACGGAGGACGACAGCAGGCCAACCTGGCCTCCCAAGCGAGATTCAGCCCTGGCGCTCTACCCCTTCAGCGCTAAGGAACTCAGCAGTGTCGAGCGAGTCTCCGAGACCTCTCTCCTTCTTTGGCATCATTCCTCGACTCTTTTTTTTTTTTTTCAGAGTGTGTAGGAGGGTGCCCTGCAGGTTGCACTTGTATTATCGCACACCAACTCGAGCGAAGCGGCATTGCTTTCACAAGGTTCACCTTTGCTCACCTCTGATCCTTCCCCGCTCCCCCTTCTCTCACCACGCCTTTGCGCCGCGAATCCGCGGATCCGACGAGTAGAAGACCAACGGTGTCTTCGAGCTCCACATCAAGAACGGCGCCGGCAAGGAGTACGTTCACACCATCGACCTCAAGAAGGTGAGTCTGCTACTCGGAACTGCTTGTTGGTCTGGCCATGCATGCCAGTCAGAGGCTTTCCCTTGCCGCGCTCGCAGAGCATTGTTCGCTCACTCATTCGTCCTTTTTGCCTTGATCAGAACGCCGAGTCTTACGAGGGCAAGGCAAAGGGCAAGGCTGACGTCACCATCAACTGCACTGATGACAGTGAGTGTTGTCACACAGTACCGCAAATGCACGATTGTGCGACCACGATTGAATCGCTTTTTGACCTTGTTCCATCATGTTCATTCATTCACTCAGCCTTCATGGACATGGCCGACGGCAAGGTCAACGGCCAGAAGGCCTTCATGTCCGGCAAGCTGAAGGTGTGAGTACCGCGCTGGAGATGCATTGCCAGCCCTTGGAGACCACACGCGTGGTCTGATGATTCTGACTAATGTGCAATGTTTGGTGACACAGCAAGGGCAACATCATGCTCGCCACCAAGCTTGATGGTGTGCTCAAGTCTCAGCAAAAGGCGAAGATGTAAAGTGCTTCAGCGACGTCAATCTCGTTTGGCTCTGGGCAGGTCGAGGGGAAGCGGCAAAGCATGCGAGCGGATGTGGTATGAGGAGAGCGAGAAGCTATTCTCGCCATCCTCTTGCGCCTCCGCGGTGAGCCAAGGCGGCTGGCTTGATTGCTTGGCCGTCACCCTTCCTTCGCCTTTCCCCGCTCAATGTCACTTTTAAAGCTGGAATGCAATCTGTGATAGTCTGTGCAACTGCAAAGTGCGCGAGCGATAGTGTCTGAGTTGCTGCGAATCTCCGTAAGCATGGTTCGACGAGGCTGTGCTGAAGCTGCAATCGCTGGCAAATGTTATGGCGAGATGCCAAAAAAATTGGCTCAGTGCCCGAATGCCGTGATCCGAGCACCTGAAACAACTCGTTCATCCGAGCGGGAGGAAAGGCTGACTTGATCATGGCATGATCCTTCATCTCCTCGACACGTATTTGCATCGACGGACACGTGTCGTATACCTCAGGTAGGGCCAGGAACACATTCTGGGAAGGTTTGCAATGCCGGCACGGCTGCCCGGCGCGCGCTCAGACACCATTGGCAGAATCAACAAGTCCTTCAAACGGGTCCATGGAAAGGATGAAAATTGAGAGTGCTGGCTGGGGGCAATGAAGGGCGCTGTGATTGGCGGTACAATGAGTGAATCGGTCTAGTGGGCCATGGGGCTGCAGAGTCGGGGCACAGAAGTGCGTGGTGACGGGAGTCGAGATGCTTGCCAGCAAGACTTGGATTGTGGTGATGTATGCGCGCCAAATGATTGGGGGAGGGAAGGGGGGTTTCCTGTTCGAACATGAGATTCAAGAAGATTCGCGACTGGAAGACGAGCAGTGTTTTGTTGGGCTTGTGGGTACTACTCGAGCCACTGTACTCAATCTTATGTGGTGCCGCTGTGCCACGACTGCGACTTTCGGTAGCTCGAACGCCGCGAAGACGATTTGCTGCCGTTGTTCTTTGTGCGCACAGCTCGATCGCTGCTGGCAGCTTGCGGAGCGGCCACCTCTTGCTGAAACTCTCCTAGCACGTTGCCAGGAGGATTGTATTCGCAGAAGACGACGTATCCCTCGCCGAAGGAGGAACCAAAGCCCAAGTCATTGCCGGAGCACTTTGCTTTGGCGCAGCCAACGGCGTCAGTGTCACTCCAAACGATCTGAGTGAAGTGTCCCGTCGCTTCTGAGAAGCCGCCACTTCCAAAGTCGTCTGCAGCAGCAGCGCGTGAGGCCGAGCGTGTGAGTGCATTGCCCGAGACTTGTCAGATGCGGCTCGTGACTCACACTGGGTAATCTGCGTATCACGCAGACGCCAGACCGATAATAAGGAGATGAGCAGATGAGCAGATACTATGTGCAAGATACGCGGCAGCTCAGTCTCAACCACCGACGACGCACTGGCACTTACCTCATTGTACCAACTACCAACGACCTCGGAGACAGGCGGATCGCTGGTGGAGGCCTAGATAATGGTCATGCGTATTGTCATCTATCCACGCTGCCTGATATTGTGCGCGTGCGACGAGGCTGCTCACATAGATGTTCTCGCCCCATTGACTGATCGCAGACAGGGCACGGTGAGCCTCGGCTCGTTCCTGGCTTCCGAAAAGTAGGAGACAAGAGATGACTCACCCATGCGTATGCTCGAACTTGCATCGGTTGGCAGCCTCTTGAGCAGCAGCTTGGAGTTTCGTCTGCCAAGACAGCTCTTGTACTGCGTGCCTTTTGCGATAATAATTGTGGTACCTGAGATATCCGCGAGCGCTCACGGTGCCGCCATTGCCTCCGGCGCTGTAAAGTCCCATATCGCCGCTCGGCTGTTTCTTGCTCCCTTTGCCTGCTTCAGTCGGAGAATTCGTGTCAGCAGGGTGCCCGTTATTGGAGGCACTTTGGTCGTTAACGGCGGGGGGGCTCGTGTCCTTGGGGGCGGTATTGGCCCCCTTCTCGTACCCGGCATGGCCATCGTCATTGCCATCGTTATCGTCACCGTCACCGTCGTCGGCATCGTTACCGTCACCGTCACCGTCACCGTCACCGTCACCGTCACCGTCACCGTCACCGTCACCGTCGTCGTCACCGTCGTCCTCATCGTCATCGACACTGTCATCGACATCGGTATCGGTATCGTCACCGGAATCATTGCCGCTGCGGTTACCGCCGCCACCACTGGTGTCATCGTGACCATGTCGACCGTGATCATGGCTTGCGCCAACATGCCTACCGCTGTCGCTGTGCTCATCGTGGCTGCCACCACCTCCCTCGATCTGACGCACAGGAGCTCGACAAGACCTACCTTGGAGCGAGGGAGGTTGCGCAGCTGGCTGTTCGGGGTGTGAAGGATCCTTTTGATGGCCATGTTTGAAATGCTTACCGCGTCCGTGTTTGTGGAGATGCTTGTGGTGCTTCTTGTCACCATTGCTACTGGATATGCTAGCTTCGCTTGAAGCATGGGCGAATGCTTGCGCTTGCGCCTGCGCGTGGGTGTGCCCACCGCCCGACTTGTTCCACTTTGACCTATGACGTATTCTTCGAGCGAATTTTCTTGCCCTTGGCGCAAGGTCCCTGACCACACTTTTCCAGCTATGAGATCCTGCGCCCTCCTCCTCCTTGCGTTCTCTCCTTGCGAGCGAAAGATGCAGCTCGGCGTCCTGCCGGGCAATGCGCAGAGTGTCGTCCACGCCTTCGCCGCTCCCTTCCGGTGTGGAGCGTCGCTGTAGCCAGCAAGGGCCGATGGAGGTCAGCATGTCGGTGCTGTGCTCCAGCTAGCCAATCATGCACTCACGGGTAAGGCCACCTGGTCACTTGGGGCTCTCTGAATGTCGTCGGCTTCGGCTTGACGGCCAAACGGCGACACTCGACGTGCAAAACGAGACATCAAGCCCCGACGTTGCAGTTCCTCCAGATTCGAAACAGTCGCCCGCTCACCATAGCGGCGTGGCACGAGCTGCGCGGGCTGAGCTGTGACATTACTGCTGTCGAGGGTGAAGATGCGGGTGCATGGTGTCTGCCTGTCAGCTGCTTGCACTTCACGCAGCGGGGGAGACCGTTGCACCTCTGCTCACCACAGCGCGTACAGTACCACGAGGGCAAGTGCATAGAGTGGCAAGAACTGCATAATGCGTAGCGACGAGCTCAACAGGTCAAATGATGCGGTCAAGAACTGATGCTTTTGTGGCAGACCGCTTGGGTGCTGCAGTGTGGGGTGGACCAGGATGCTGACCGGAGACCTCCTTTTGGTCGCTGTGTACGGAACAGGGACGATGCGCAGCTCTGTTTGCTGCGAGTAAGTACGGATGGGGTGCAGAGAAAAGATGTGAGCTGGCCGGTGGAGTGAGAGCTTGGAGGTGACGCGGCGAGGAAGCGCCGTGCGAGCAGGTGATGGGGAGATGGGCCACAAAGAAGGAGGTGTGGCCTTCAAAGAAGTAGGCAACGCTAGTGTTCCTTAAATGGCATCTCAGCCATGCCACCAAGCACACCGCGTCGTCGGCAGGTCGACAGAGCAGCAGTGGGAAACGAGAGAAGGGGGGGAAGAAAAGCCTGCAGCAGCACACAGCGCGGTTGGCCAAGCAGCCTGCTGATGCTTCCAAGGCAGGTAAGGATTTGCCACCAGTGAGTAGCTGTAGCTAGCAGATCCATGGCAGCTGCATGGTAGATCCTCGGGCGGACATGAGTGTGTGTAGACGCCTTTGTTGGAGTGCGAATGCTGCTTTGGTTTGCGATGCTATGCGGTCGCATATGGTCAGCTGCTTGCACGCTGCACCCGACCACTCTGTAGACACTCTCGCTTGATCGATCGTGACTCACGAGTATGGTGTACCTGCAACGGGTGTGGTGCGACGCCCAGCCCGCCGTCATGACCTTACCTTGATTACCACCCCAGCTCTGCACGCGTACCTATATACCGCGTCCCTGTCCAGCTGTGAGCCTTCTGCACAGGTGTTTCTGATGGACGCACGAACGAGGAGCTGCGTTGTTCTCATATTGCTGCGGCGTGCGGTAGGCCAGCCAAGTGTGGATCTCGTCCTGACTTGCAGTGCCCGCGCTCGCCCTGTTCAAGACTCACGACCGGTGAAGCTGCGTCTTGTCCCTCCACTTGGACGCCGGCTGAGCTCTGCACCGAGGAGAAAGTGCTTGTGTTACAGCACATATGCTTGCTAGCATTCAAGGCTGTGACTGCTTGACTGTGCTGGGACCGATCGCGATGCGTAGAGCGCGAAACTCGAGGCTCGAGACTATGCGACCGCGTTCCTAGGCTCAGCTCAGGCTAGCCGAGACAAAAGGCTCGCGTCTTGAGTCAAGCCTGCTCTACACAGGCCTCTTCCGAATCGCCGTCTGCTTTGTTCATTCGCCTTTGGCTTGGTACCCTTGATTGCGCAATTGTGAATGCATGCTCTTGTCGTTGTTGCACCTTGCGGTGCGCCAAGGTGGATGGTATCATGGTCTACATAGCTGACAGGCGGTGCAGGGCGCGGCCGTGGGTCAATTCACGATGGCATGCCATGCACACGCGCGCGTGTGCACCTCAGCCTCGTCATCAGTCACGGAGTGAGGCCTTCTTGTCCCAATCGTGAGTCGCGAGTCGCGGGTGTGATTGCTCCATTGGCTCATCGAGCGCAATCGTCGTGCCTATACGTGCAGCTGCGCACGACGAGTCATGTCTGCCCTTCGAGTATGGGAGCAGCTTAATTGCCAAAATGATGTGAGTGGTCCGTGCTGTCGGGACCGCGGCTCCACAGTACCCCTTGTCCAACTCCACGCATGCATGCATGCATCAGCGCCCGCGTGCAACTGAATTCCTTTGTGTAGCGATATACAGCCGTCAGGTCTTCTTCATTCGGCCTTGTCGTGTGAGAGAGTGGTGACGAGGCGTACGGGAAGAAAGGCTTCTTCATCGATTTCGACTTTGCGTGGGATGCTAGCTGACTCGTGCCCGCCGTCGGCGTCTCTACGTGTCGCACAAGTTTTTCGCGCCTCCAATCGTCAATCAGAGCTGTGGTCAGGCTTGTTTTCACAGGCTGAGCAGACAGCATGCTCGCGACTCGTGACTCCACTTGCAGCGGGCCGGTCAGCCCATGCTGAGCTGATGTCGCGCGGTCCTGATGGCGACGACGACCACCGCACGAATACCTGCATCCAACGCGTCTCGACAGCAAAAGCGCATGCCTCTCCTTGCCAGGCATGGCACGGGGTCAAAAGCAAAAGGAAGCACCTTGGCCATTACACACCTCACAATAAATTTACAGCAGTAGTAAGGGGGGAGTTGTGAAAGGGCAGAGATCGAGAATGTGTGCAACGAAGCGATTGAATCGTCAGTCCGAGAAGTTGCTCTACGTCAGAGGACAGGGCATACCTATTCTGCGTGACGAAAGCTGACGCAGGAGTGGAGGGCTTCTGGCCAGCCACGGTCAGCACGACAACTTCGTGCAGGTCCAAATGAAGAAGGACATGCCTGTATGCCCTGAGCTTCAAGCATAGCAGCATGAGCGTGCCACAAATTGTGTGCAAGATCGTTTAATGCGAGTGATCGTGTCCCTCGTGTCCACTCCGCGTCGATCGCGCTCGAGGTGTAGTCGATGCGGTGGGTGTCGCGGCTGCCGCTATCGCCGCGGATGCGCTAGTAGCACTGCGAGGTGGTGGGCAGCAAGAATCACCAGCACAGGACGCGTCTGGTCCACAGGTGATGAGGCATGCTGTCTCATTGCGCGACTGATCGCGTTCGGAACGATGTTAGCAGAAGGTCAGCATCCCGTCGCCGTCATGCTAGAGCGGCAGCAGGGCTCGACGATGCACTCACCAGTTCGCTCTCCACCAATGTTCCTTCCTCTGTAATAAGTCGGCCTTGCGCATCCGTCTCCTCGGGGGCAACGTTGACTCCGCTCATCCTTGCAGCCGTCTTGAGCCCTCCCCGAACAAATTCCGGCTGAATGGTGGCGGCATGCACTCCCCAGCTGTGCAGAATCGTTCGGAGCTCCTGAGCGATTTGCATGTACCGCTCGTCTTGTCCTGGTCCGCAGTCCACCAGAACGTGCATGCTGGCAATGATGGTAGATTCTGACAATTGCCACACGTGAAGCTCGTGAATGCTCAGAACCCCCGGGGTCTCGACCAGCTGAGCCCGCACGTCGTCCAAGGGTACGGAGGGAGGCACGCCTTGCAACAAGATGAAGCTGGCAGACTTGACCAGTGGCAGGGCACTGTGGAAGATGATGATGGTGATCAAGAAGCTGATTGCGGGGTCGGTGTAGAACCGCCAAGAGTATGTCGTCAACAGAATGAACAATCCTGATGCGATGACCCCCACGTTTCCAAGAGCATCCCCAAGCACGTGTAGGAAGACGCCCTGCATGTTCATCGATCCGTGAGAGTGGCTATGGCCACCGTGCGAGTGGCCATGGCCACCGTGCGAGTGGCCGCCGTCTCCGCCGTGATTGTGCGAATGCCCATGCTCTTCGTCACTGTGGTCGTGACTGTGTCCATGCTCTTGACTGTGCTCGTTGCCATCCTCGTCGTGAGCATGCGCGTGAGCTTTGCTCTTCTGACCAAGCCAGCTTCGGCCTTTCTTGGTGGCGTTGGCGGCGTGGCCGCTTTCGATGTCGTGAGCATGGACTGTTGAGCCGTAGCCGGTGGACGAACCGGTCGCGGCATTAGTATTCAGACGCTCCCTCTCTCCCCGCGCCGGCTGCTCATAGCCCAGCTCCTGCGCAGCTTTCACCACATAGGCTCTAGTGGTCGCAGGGTGACCAAAGAGCGATGACACGCTGTCCTGGCGCCTACGTCCATTAGCAGAAGGTGAAGCGACCACGGTAGCCGCCGAGGCTTCCGATTCCGCACGCTCCTCGATGTTGTCGGCCGCAGTAGAACCTGCTCCGCTGGTGGATGAGGGTAGGGCCTTGGTACCGTGGGAGTGTCCATGGGAATGCCCACCATGCGAGTGGCCGTGATCGTGGAACAGGAATAGTCCAACAATGTTTGAGGCCAGTCCCAAGGATCCAACAATCACCACGAGCTTGGGGTTGGAGACCTCTGATCACGAGGCCAGGGTGCGTGTATGCTAGAGAAGTCAGCGAAAGATCGAGTCGCACAACTCGTGACAGCTCACCGGTGATGTTGACAGCTCGCTCGATGGCCTCCATGAAGATGCTGAAGCACAACGCCAAGAGGAAGACACCATTGACGAGCGCGCCTAATATCTCGGCCCGCTGCCACCCATAAGAGTATCTCGGGTCCTTGGCGTGATCGCGCGTAGAGAGCTGCGTTGATGGGGAGCGAGGGTCACCTTGTGAGCTGAACAGAGGTGGACGATGCAGCGGGCCTAGATACTCACTCTCAGGGCGTACAAGGCGACAACCAAACTCATCACATCGTTGAGCATGTGGAAGGAATCGGCGACCAGAGCCAACGACCCTACCGAATAGCCTTGATTCAAGCGAGAGGGTATGAAGTCAGCTTGGTCTGCCTTGCCACAGCCACTGTTGAGATGCAGGGTAGAGGGGTGGCCGGGGCCGATGGGTCGGAGATGCAGCAGGTGTCAAGCCACGACTCACCCACGATAATTTCCACGAGGAAGAAGACGACATCGATCACCAACAAGGTGATGATGCGAGCTTCCTTGCCAAAGCCCATGTCGGAAAGGGGGAGTATTTGAAGACAAAGAACGTTGGTTGGATGTGCTTCAGAAGCTGTGAGACTCGTGCTGAGGAACGAAAGGGGATCACAAGGGGACGGCCACTTCTCTTCTTGCTCGGGGCGGTGTGGGCCGACTACGGGACTGTGAGCCAGTGTGTGCACGGAGGAAAATGGACCAGAAGAAGGTGATGAGGGAAAAGAGAAGCGGAGGAAGTGTCGTCCTTGTCGGTCGGTTGCCTGGCTGCTGCAACGCTGCAACAGGGGATGAGGTGGCTGGATCGATGGTCGATGCGGCAGGATATGCCGGTGTTGGGTGTGTACAGGCGGGCGGGCAAGAGGGGGAAAACCATGCAGGCCTGCATATGCCCTCCCAGAACCAAAATCTCGATCTCATCACATTTTGATTGAATCTCGATCGGTCTACAAGGCGCGCGCCCGACCCACGCGGGCGGCTCATCTCGATCACGCACTGGTACGCGCGTTGCGGCTAAAGTTGAAGTCGGCGGGACCTTCAGCGATTATAGATTCAAGATTCACTCACACCGATTCGACATTTTTATTATTTGATTGCACGCTGCGCTTGGCTGTGTAAGTCCGTGCCTTCGCGCAGGCTAATCTCTCAAGCGAGGCTGAGAGAAGGACGATCGGAGTGCGCAGCCGACAAGTTCGGGGATAAGCCGCAAGCGGAAAGAAGCGCAGCAGACTGCTGATCGCGGCTATACCTCGACGTCGATGCTTTTGCGCGCGTGGCGGCGATGAGCTGCGACGCACAAGTCTTCTCGCAACCCTTGAGGCTCTGAATTGCACACGCGATCGTAATCCTGGTCTGGTTTCTTTTCACACTCGCCCGCCAGTCACAATTTGAGTCTGATGAGTGTATGCGGTGCACAGCATTCGCCATCGCAAACGAGGACATCGCGCCGGCTGAATCAGCAGCATCGAGCAATTCAGTGTGCACAATGCTGCCACCTCCGCAGTACAATGAGCAAATGCAGCTCGATTGAACGCCAAATTGAGCAAGGCGCGAGCGGCAAAGGTGGGAAGAAGGTGAATTACAGCCATGACGGCAGCTCTGCGAAGACTGATTGACGTGCATTTGGCCGGCGAGTGTCTCTCGGGCCCCAGCCGCCGCGACCGCCCTGCCTATCTCTGCAAATTGAGACATCCCATGTCGCGAGGGGAGCAGCTTGAAATGACTGTTGGCAATCGAACGGGTCATTTGACGGTGCAGCAAATCGGCACATCCCAGGCTCTTGATAGCGAGCATGCAGCACGCGATGCTTGCGCACGAGTTCATCTTTCGTACTGTACAAGGATTATCATTGCCACAGATTGACTAACGGAAGGGGTGGAGAGGGGCTGTAGGCACCTTTTCTTTCACTGCCGCTACTTGGCGCTGCGGGTCACCCGAAAGAACTCTGCGGTCAAGCTCCCTCCAAAAGTTCGCGGAACTCGCCCGTCTCGATCTGTTCCTAAGTGTGCGAATGAGCGAGGCAGACCAGACGTTGGCACAAATTTAGCAGGGCATCCATCGGCTCGCGCAAGATGCAGCGGCAGACGTACCTTGAGAATGTCGAGCCCACCGATGAGCTCGCCGTTGACAACGATCTGCGGGAATGTGGGCCAGTCGTTCAATTTCTTGAGACCTGCAAATAGGAGAGCATATTGGGCCACTTCGCGCGTGAGCGATCACTTCAGAGTGCGTGTCTTGACTGCCATACTAGTACTCACCTTGCCTGACAGCTTCGTCCTGAAGGATGTCGAAGCTGCCGAATCGAACGCCTTCCTGCCTCAACAGGGCTACCGTCTTTTGGCTGAAACCGCAGCGGGGCTGATCGGGATTGCCCTTCATGAACAGCATCACCTTCTCCCTCTCCATCAGGCCCTTGCACCTCGATGCCAGCTCCTCGTCTGATTCCTGTTTGGGCACGTGATGCTCCTCGTAGCCTTGAGCAGACTGAATGGGAGCAGAGGTGTGAGAGAGGGGCCCGGAAGCAGCACCGTTTCCGTTCGAAGGAGCGGCATGGGAAGCGACGGCCGCGGATAATGCAGACGCGTTGGCCCCAATGATGCGCGAGAGGAGGGTGTGACCCTTGAGAAGGACAAAGGAAGGCACTGATTCGATGTCAAACGACTCAGAGATGTCGGGAAGCGCCTCGGCTTCAATCTGCAAGTCAGGAGGACAGTCGTAGTGCGGGCGACGGCAGGCGATGGCGGGCGATGGCGGGTGAGGTGTGTGGGTGAGCAACGAATATCAATCAGGTGATCAGGCTGCTGAATTCATCGACACTCACCTGCAAGACGAGGACAGCAGGCCACTTGACGGCCAGCTCCTCCACCACCTTGTTCATTTGCTCGCACGGCTCTGCCCAAGGCGCCCAAAAGTTGAGGAGGCTGACTCGATTGAGATCCTCTTGCATCAACGAGGTGAACTGCTCCGGGGAGCCGACGACAACCAGGTTGCTCGACATGTCGCTCAGTCACTTTTGGAAAGGCGAATGACTGCGGTCGAGTGTGTATGTATGCAGCGGGAGCGAGACGTTGCGGAGTCAGGTGGGTAGGCGGGCAGGCAGGCCGACCGGTCAGCGTCTTCAGAGAAGGCCGAAGGACTCGTTATCTGATCGAATTGTTAGTCCGCCGGAGGGGTATGGGAGAAGGCTCGCTATGATGAGCTGGTTGCTGCCCGAAGTGCACTCCAGTAGAGGTGCTGCTGGGGATGGCAGATGGTGTCGATGATGGTGGCGATTCAGTGTGGGTGGCAGATATGGGAGCTAAATCAGGCTGTGGTTGCGGTGTGTGTAGCCTTCGTGATTGGTCGGCCGGCAGGATGTGGCTGATGGTTGGCTATTTGCTGCTAGGCGAGAGCGCACCGGACTTACGCGCAGCTTGTATGCTTCCATTCAAATTGTGTGATTGATTGCTCGCAACGTTGACCGCTATTATTCACGATTCCTGAATTATTATTCAGTTTTCAACTCCGGCACGACCAGGCGGTGCCGTTTATACCGATCGGACACATCGCGACTTCGCGCAGCAGCAGCAGCAGCAGCTGTCGCTTCCATGCAGCATCGGTGACGTGCTCTCATCCATCTGCGCGCGCGCTTTTCATAGCAATCCAAGAATATCACAAATCAATCTTTCTTTCAAGCTGTTCCAACGTGACTGCAACAGACGAGTAAAAGGTCACGTGAAGTGCGACTCGAATGCATCCACGAACAGACTTACAAAAGGCCAATTTTTGACAAGAATTTGATTCCAGAAGCACACGATTATTATTCCCAATCTTGAATGGCTGAGCCTCATTAACGCCTACCTATGCTCAGCGACCTGCGCATGTCTCCTTACGACTGAGCCTCACTACCACCGACCAACGCTCAGCGATCATCGCATATCTCCTTCGTCACAGACACCACCTACTGCGACAAGCTTCAGCATCTATACGCACCAATTCTGGTCACGATCGACTCCTTCCGCAAAGAGCTGAAGCAGCAGCAGCCTACTAATCACTTTTCAGCCTTGCACACGAGCTTTGCTTGCCGCGCATTTCGTCGTCTCGCTCCAAGACATGGCTGACAGGACGAGCAAGTGGGACGCTGCTCCCGACGACGGCTCCAACGAGACCCGCGCATCAGCAGCAGCAGCAGCTGCTGCTGCCGCGGCCAAGATCGCTGCGCAATTCTCCCAGAGACAGGCAGCTGGCGCCGCATCGCCTCCGGGAGGCGCAGACAGGAGCGGCCACAATGCGAGCTCCCCACCGCTGAAGGATGGGGAAGGCAAGAGGAAGGAGGATCACGAACCCGAGTTCACGCACGACATTGAGATCAACGATCATAGGAATCGCTATATGCTGACCAAAGGACAGACTCAGACGCAGCTCTTCCAAGAGACGGGCGCGAGCGTGAGCACAAAGGGAACCTGGTATCCGGACAAGAGCATGGCCACGCCTCAGGATCCTCCCCTCTACCTGCACATTGCTGCCACCTCGCAAGAGATCCTGAACAAGGCCATCGCTGCGGTGGAGGAGCTCATCAAACAGGAACTACCTGACCTCAACCCCGACCCTCGTCGACATAGGCAAGAGAGGGAGGAGCGACCACCGCCTGAGAGAGTGAGTTTGTAACACGTCCAAGACCTTCGTTGCGCACTGCCCTGCCTTGCTGTGCGGCCACCCATATCGGTGCCGCCCGACAAGTGACCTTGCCAGGTGTGCACGGTGCCGCCCAATGCTCAGGTCACTTGTCGGACGGCACCGGTATGGATGGCCGCACATCAAGGCAGGGCAGTGCGCGACATTCATTCTGCTGCACATGTCATCGCGTACGTTCTGACCCTCATCCGACACGCGTGTCTGCTGTTCCCCACTTGCAGAGAAGATGGCCTGAAGACAAGGTGTACATCGACTTGGAGCCCTTGAGAAATTTCAACGTACGGGCAAAGGTCGTTGGACCCGGCGGTCTCTTTGTCAAGTACATTCAAGGGGAGACCGGTACGCGCGTGCAGATCAAGGGTCAAGGCAGTGGCTTCATCGAATCCGAGTTGGGTAGGGAAGGCGATGAGAAGATGCACGTCAGCATTGCGTGAGTCAGGCAATTTCGAGACTTGCTGGCAACTGCGACGCCATGCGTAATTTCATAGCTGACTACCCATTGTCTTGCACGCATCACGCTCTTGACGGCAGAGGACCTGATGAGGCACAGGTAAAGGCAGCGAAAGAACTGGCAGAAGATTTGCTCGATGCGGTCAAGAGCGAGTATGCGAAAGCCTACGCTGTGCTGCAACAGCAAGGCGTCTGGGTGCCTCCATTTGCTGGAGCTGCGGGGGTGAGTGCACTCGCATTACAAAGAACTTTGCGCACGCCTGCTGACGTCACCTCATTGTGCCGACCCGCTCTTTCTGTTCAGCAACAACAACAGCAGCCCTATGGCGCATACCAGCAGCAAGGCCAAGCCGGCTGGTACGGAGCTCAGGGACAAATGAGCGGAGGTCACGCTCAAGGTGGCATGCCACCCCAGCCTGATGATCCAGCACCCCCGCCTCCACCCGAAGATGCAGCCCCACCGCGTGAGTGAGATATTCAGAAGGCCCTCGATCACGTCTCTGCCGCTGAGTGACCGATTGATGATTCTGGCACCACAGCTCCTGGTGACGACTACGCACCACCCCCTCCAGCTGAGCAGAAGCGCTTCGTTCCTGCCACAGCGGCCCCCGCACCAATCAAGCAGAAGACGGCAGAAGAGCAAGCTCTGGAAAAGTATTGGGCGGACTACAAAAAGTGGCAAGTGAGTACTAGGAGCGGACTTGCGCATGCAGCCCCCAAGAAAGCAATGTGGCGCACAAGCACCGACCGGCAGCGTAATCTGACCCTCCGCTGTGTCTGCCGCCAGGAGTCCTACGTCGCCTACCACGGACGAGTGCCGACCAAAGATGAGGGTGGTCAAGACATTCCGTCTGAATTTCGTTAACAAAAGTCGATGACGGAACGCCAGCCTCACGCGTTGGAATCACGCAACCCTAGCCTAGCGGCACTGATGCTCGCAGATAGCAAACGTCATCCCACAACGGCGCTCTCTAGTGACCCACGCATGCGCAAGCCGTCCTCTGCATCCAGATGTTGAAATCAATGCGATGCATGCGTAAGGTGATGAGACTGACGAAGGCTGCTGCGAATGCTACTCGGTGATGTGGAAGATGATCATGAATGCTACCAGTGATGTTACACATAAGAGGTCGTTGGTATAGTGAAGGAAGCGAAGCAGTCCACAACGTCGCTGATTCGTTGCTAGGATCAGAAAAGCGGTGAAGAGGAGTCAGCTATAGCTGAACACCACTTTGACCTGAAAACCCTTGCGGCCGGCCGGCGGCTTAGGACTACAGCAAAGACCCTGCATTCTACTCGCCCTACCATGCGCTCGCACTTGTCTACATCTGCCCTAGATCGCCAACACTGCTGATAGACGGCGACCTCTCCACATGCCAAGTTGGCGCCCCAGTGCTCGCGAAAGGTCTGCACCCCGCCCTGCCGATGCGCCGTCGGTTACGCTCCCGGTCCTTTCGCTATCACCGGGATCAGAGAATCACCGCAACGCGTACGTACTAACCTCAGCGGCGAGATGAAGTTCCGCGAGCGTCACAGCATCGCCAGGGGACCTTGCGTAATGGCTTCTCCTCCCGCTCGACCTGCAGTAGCTTCAGCAGCAGCAAGCATGAAGGAAGCGTTTGGTAGCTCGGCGCCCTTGACGTGTCTAAAGAGCACGACTATGATGCCCAGTACAAAGATGAGTGCGTGGAATGCTGGATGATTGACTGCGTGAGATATGTGCAAAGCCAGCCAGCCCTTGCGTCAGCGGTCACAGATTGGAAAGAGCTTGTCAAAAGGTGGCGGAGCAAAGCTCACCGGGGCACGCCATGGTGGATTGAGGGCCCAAGTAGTCTCAGCTCTTTGGTGAAGGTCAGAACTTCGCTCGTTTTGGATGCAAATTGGCCTGATGAGTGTTGCGAAGCGTTGCTGAAGTGATGGTCGTGTGTAGAAGAATGCGTGCGGTTGACGTCCATCTAGGGTGGTGTGGGTGGCGTCATAGTGTGGCGAAAGCTCCAGGATGAAGGAGCTCCAAAATCTTATTGAGAGTTGGAGCGGGCTGTGCGTGCACGGGACGCCGGCGAGCGTGCTCCAGCCTGCCAGAGCGCGTGAATTTCTCAGCAAGGCGGCCTCCACGTCGACAGCTTGCGTGACATCGTACGATTTGGAGCAATGGGAACCACGTGATGAGAGACCACGTGACCCCCACCTCGACGTCTCGCGGAGGAAATAATCTTGGCGCAGCGCAGGGCCGCATCTACATTCAAAGAGGCGAGGTCAGAAACTCTGATGAGCTCCCTTGCACACTGCAGCGCTCTCGTGACCCGCGCTTGGCTGCGAGACTAAAAGGCAGGTCGGTCAAGTGCAAAATGCTGACGCACGCTGATGCTTTCGCCGTCCGAGATAGGCGTGTGCGCGTGCTCACAACATGAGGTAAGGGAGGCGTCAGCGGCGACGCAGGCGGCGTTTGCGCACGGTCTGGAGTAATAAGGCGTCGGTGGCAACGCAGGCAGAAGTAAGTGGCGCCACCGTCGGTATAAGTAAGTGGCGCCACCGTCCGAGATACCGTAAAGGAAACATGACCTGGGTGTCGGGCGTTCTAAATTCGATGGCTTTGACACCCCCTTGCACCCAGCGCCTGACCGGAAGAAATGCCGCCGGCAGCCCCCCCCCCACGGGCCGCCGGCCGCGAAATAGCACATGGTTGCTGACACGCTTCGCCGCATCATGCAGCACTACTACCATCATCCCGACCGCGGTCTTCGCGAGCGGGGGTGTGACATTCGTCGCAAGCGCTGTGGGCCTCGCGAAGCACCGAGAGACCCTCAGCCCCACTTGCACGCCACACCCGACAGGGAAAAGTCCGCATTACGCGGACAAATCTATAGAACAAAGGCTTAGCCTCAGCGGATCGTAGCAACAAGGCTACTCTACCGTTTACAGCACCCCGTTCCCATTCAAGTCGTCTGCAAAGGATTTACCCCCGCCCATATTCGAGATTGCTATACGCGGACGAACCGGAGCGGCCTTTCCGCCGTCCGGCCGCTGCCCGCCATATACGGTGCACGGTCCCAAAGGACCTATGTGTAACACAAGTGACATGTGCGGGACCGACATCGTCGCTTCTGGCACGGATTCTGGCTTAGAGGCGTTCAGCCATTATCCAGCAGGTGGTA